GGTGAACTATTCTCTTCCTCACCCGCCATGCTTTGGTTGTGTCCTAATTGTAGACACTTTTTATTCACTTCTTTCCAGATTTGTTCAAGCTTTGCTGAGCCTCCAAAGGGTAAATAATTCCACAATTCCATATTATACCTCACAATAGCATTTTTGTATTGTGTTGATTTCAGAAAATGCCCTATTGTGTTCGTATGGGGGGGGGGGAGAGGGTCCAAAATATTAACAAAACAAATAGTAGGGGAAGATATTTTCTGAATAAAATAGGTTAATTGAAATGTAAACCTTCAACCTTGCAAGCTAAACCGAAGTTTTAGTTTCATGAGCTAAAAAGATCAGAGCAAACTCTCAAATCAAGAGGGGATTTCTAGCCTAACTAGCTTACTGAATAAGCAGAGGAAAATATGAACCCCAAATGCTCAGCAGCAGGCAAATTTCTGCAGAAAAAAAGTGTACAGGTTTTTGAGCATTTGAATGAGCTACGGAGCTGTCATGTAATCTAGTTTTTGCTGAATCTGCCTTGCTCAAAAATGTATCAATCTTCTTTTTTGCTTGCTAAATCAGCAGGGAAGGGGCAGGCAGACTGGTAATAGAGGTTAAAGCCTTGATAGTTGCAGTTCTGAATTGTCAGGATGGTAGGGCTTTTTTTGTTTGTTTAAAAAAATATTATTATTAAAAGCTGAGCTGGCAGTACTGCTTACCATCTGGAATTGCGAAGGCCAAGGCCTCAACTTCACACCCTGTTCATTTGACCCTTATTATTCTTATCTTAACTCAATTCGTCCAGTAGCTTGTTCCTTGGGAAGTGGGAGGTACAACGGAGAATCCCCACAACATAATTTTCCAGCTACAGCTCTATACAACCCCCTGGTATCTAGTCTGCCATATACAGCAATTAATTGTAACACTGAAAGTCATGTTTTTAATACCCTGGGACTAATTCCTTATGGAGCTTGGAAACATGCCCTGTAATTTGCAAGCGATCGTGGCAGTTGGCAAACAGTGTTTGATTCACCAGCGATGCAGGCGTTTTATCAGTTACCCGCTACAGCTGCAGTGAATCTCAGATGGTTTGACCTCATTAGGGCATTCCCCCAGCCAGGACGCTTTGAAGATTGTGGCTTTCAGCTCCAAAGTATTCCATCTGGAATCTGAATGATCCACTTCCGTTATGGTCAAACTTGCCCTTCAGTATATATGCTGCTGTCAACAACGTCTGTATTCCTGAACATTCCAAGAAATGCCATTAAGCAGGGTGGCCATGTGTCCTCCTTTACAGAGGACTGCCCTTTCTTTGAAGGTGTCCTCTGTTTGAGGGCTGTCCAATCCAAGTCTGGTTTAATGATAAGGAACTATAAAAAGAAGCCTTGAAGTTGTCCATTGATGGTTAGCAGCACATGGTCTGTAGACTGAGCAGGCATACAAGATGCCTGGTGTCTTCCCCACTATATAGCAAGATGTGTATTTCTATAAAAACTACAATAATAATTTCTAAATTTGCACCTATACATATACAATATCATATGCAAACGTTATGCAAATTGATGTCATTTTTTTATCTTTTTTGTGATGCAAATTCTCCTTTGTGACAGTGCATGACAACTCTATCATTAAGTCTTATCCAGAGCAAACAAGTTAAGCCTTGTTAGTAATGGTGACATGGTTTTATGTGTTGGTTTGTAGAATACACACACACACACACACACACACACACACACACACACGTATATGTGTGTGTGTGTGTGTGTCCTCACATGAGCGATTCTGACTGTTCCTGGATTACTGCTTATGTGGGCAAATATACAAACCTGGAATTTGCAGATATAATAAGCAGTTCCATGACAAATGCAATGTTGGAAAATGCTGTGACCCGGTTCGCACTTTGGATGTGTCCATTTGTGTGCCTACCGCAGGTCAGTTGCTACTGCTAAGCTGTTGGTATTGCTACAGTGCAGGGGTGCCATTTTGAATAAAACATTGGGGGGGGGGCAAGTAAGCCCTACCCTGCATAACTGATCACATGACATGGACACCATTTGAATGCCAATGCCCATCAACTTTGGGGCCCCCTCAAATCTTTTAGTGGGGTGGCTGAAGGGACCTCTGCCCCTAGGAGTTGGCTATTATTCTATAGTGTTAGTTCATGTTGCAAGTGCTCAAGGACAGGGGGTGAGCTGGCAGAAATGTTGCTAAGGATATGAAGCAGCTTTCTGTGAACTGGATGTTTGGCTGATTATTTTGATGGGGAAGGTCTGTAGCGGAGTGGTCGAGCATCTACTTTGCAGGCAGAAGATCCCAGGTTCATTCCTCTTCATGTCTTACACAGGGCTGGGACTGTCTCCTGTCTGTAACCCCCGGAGAACTGTTGCCAGTCAGTGTAGATAATACTGGGTGAGATAGACAAGTGTGCTGACTCAGCATAAGCAGTGCTGTTTTTCTAGAAAAAGAGGTGCCAGAACTCGCCGTGAGCAACTCCCTCATTCTCTTAAAATGGCAATGGGGCGCACTTGAGCAGAGCTGGAACTGAGTTCTGGTGAGTTCTGGCTGAAAAAAGCACTGAATATTAGGTAGCTTCCTCTATTACCAAGACCATGCCTGCTATTTTGTTTTGAAGATCAATATATGTTCAAAAGTCTGGCATACCCTGGCAATTACATAAATAGGTGATATATATATTTTTGGTTCATTTTCACAGTGTTCTTACAGTGCTTTATTGCTTTAAAAAATGTCAGCATGAGAACATGTAAAGTTCATTACTCGGATTTGTGGGGATGTGGAGGGTGAAGGTGGGGGTTAAAACACTGGATTTTGTCATTATCTTTTCCTCCTTTTAAGCTCTTTAATACTTCACAATCCCTACAGCAGAATGACCTTTGCTGAGAGAGCTGGATGTCTGCCCTTGACAGAGCCTCGCAACCAGAACACTTTAATGACAGCTCAGAGATCAGCCAGGCATTGGCCAAGCCAGCAGAGAAACTCCTTCTGAACATTAGGGCAACCTCTGTGTAGCTCTGGGAGCCAACTTGAAGCCAAACCTGCGAGATGATTAATAAGAGTGAACATGCAGCAAGACTTTAAGGCAAAGGATGGGGACTGACTAAAAAAGAATTCCATACGCAGAAGGTGTTTTCTTCATGTGTGAAGTTACAGTGACGGATGGAGAATGAATAGGGCATAGCAGAAATTAAAGTCTTAATCATGATCACTCTTACTAATGTGGTTGGTCTAATACCATATTTACTTGAATCTAATGCTAACCTTTTTTGGCCAAATTATGCTGCGTAAATTTAGGTGCATATTAGATCTGATGGCACATTTGCATTTACCAGCAAATACTTTTTTTGGTTTCAAGGTTCTGAAAACTGAGGTGCTTATTAGATTTGATGGTGCATTAGACACAAGTAAATATGGTAATATTGCAACTGAGAGACACCACTGCGCTCTGTGAATGGCCCTGACTGGTTCAAGAGACAACCTACCCTTCACGCTTTTCCCAGACGAATAAAAGTACCATCTCCGAATGGTCTGTGGCCTGACTCAGGTCTGTGACACAAAAGTAAACAGCCTTTTGTAATCAGCCTGACCTTTCACGATGCAATCTTGTGTAAAGAGGAGGTACTGCAGTTGGTAGGAGCATTATGGAACTGTGACTTTAGCTAGTCATGCTAAATTTCATTCACACCAGTGGGTGTGGTGTGACACCACATTGTTGGACTTGTCATCACTTGCCCAACATTTCCATGCATGCACACTTTTGTGGCCCCCAGGATTCACCCATGAAAACAATGGGTAAGAACCGTATGCCTGTATCCCACCCCAAATTTCATCTCCTGCAATCTCATTGGTTAATGAGAGTTGCAAACGGGTTTCTTTCCTGGAAGCAATTAACACAGAAATGAGTGCTAAACTTCTATTGTATTCTCCTAGAACTCCAGAAGTAGCATTTACTTTACATTTTAAGGTAAAGCAAATTATCAGGCAAAGAAACACTGGAAAAATGGAATAAACTGCTGCCTGAATGAGGCCCGAGACATGAAAAAGACTTTGAGAGTTATACCACAAGCAGTGGTAATGAGATGGGTCCCTTCCATGTCACTTAACGGAAAAGTGTAGAGATTTGGAGGGGTCAAGTCTTGTTACCAGACCATAACTATGTTCTCTGAGGTGCCTCTCTCCCATAGTGAGCTAGAACATTGACTTGTCACACTGCATATTCATGATTTTCTATACTGTACTGTCACAAGCTGATGATGTTAGCTGAGATACTACACACTTCCACAGTCCACCAAATCTTATCTAGTGTTATATGAGGATGCCAAAGTTTGACTTGCTATTTTCTGTTGGTCACTTTAAAAAAAACTTGTCTTTTTGGAATCCAGTTTGTCTTTTTAGAATTTGACCTGATTTGGCAGCTTTGTTCTCTATCTGTATCAAGTCAGAACGATGACAACTCCATTGTCTCAAATCTCTGTGCTGAGGGGTTATCACCTTGACTTGAAACTCCTTCAATGTGTCTGTCACAGTAGCTGAGGTAATTTTCAAGGATGTTTTCAATTTATTCAGCTGTGAGTATATTCCCAATGCTGCCTGCATTTCATAGTTTCAGAACAATTCAGCTTCAAGACTACAAATTATACAGTGAAGGTTGCCTTCATTGTGGTTATTATTATTCATTTATTAAAATTTTCTACACAAGCATCTCAATGCGATGTACAATAAACAGCTGAAACAGTTAAGAACACACAAAAAATCCCAGCGGATGTGTTAAAAAATACAAAACAAAATAGAACCATTGCAACAATAATTTACTAAAACAATACTAACTGCTTAAGGAAAAGAAATAGGATGCTCTCTGACACTTTCAAATGTACTTTCCTCCAGTTCAATATTCATTGCTGTACCATCATCATAAATAATCACTTCCACTATTATTGCAGCTACTACTACTAGTTAGTGATAGTAGTATCCCTGGAAAACAAGGTGGGCATAAAGAAAAAATAGTTACGTAGCTCAGGCGGTAGAACATGAGACTCTTAATCTCGGTGTCATGGGTTCGAGACCTACGTTGGGCAGAATATTCCTGCATTGCAGGGGGTTGGACTAGATGACCCTCGTGGTCCCTTCCAACTCTTATGATTCTATCAACCATATTCTATCCAAATGATGCTTATTATTTATACACCTGCAGTATGTCCATGTGTACAAAATGTCCATGTGGTGAGAGACCCTGCAAAAATAAGAAACCATGTTGTGCATGACAAGCTTTTTGCATACATTTGGGGCCCCTATGTGATGTTCACCACACACACATGGATCTTGTGAAGATGGCAAAAGTGCAACTTCCACCTCAAACTTCCACCTCAAAAGGTTTTTCCTTTTGTCACTTGTGTTTAACATCACTCTTTAGTCCGAGAGCCAGTGTGGTGTAGTGGTTAAGAGCGGTAGTCTCGTAATCTGGGGAACCGGGTTCGCGACTCTGCTCCTCCACATGCAGACCTTGGGCTAGTCACACTTCTCTGAAGTCTCTCAGCCTCACTCACCTCACAGAGTGTTTGTTGTGGGGGAGGAAGGGAAAGGAGAATGTTAGCCGCTTTGAGACTCCTTCGGGTAGTGATAAAGCGGGATATCAAATCCAAACTCTTCTTCTTCTCCTTCTTCTCTAGGTGACTTAGTCATTCTCATATTAGACCTATGGCTTAAGTTAAACACACACAAACACACACTTCTGTTTTACAAGCTTGCAGTACCTATGACGTGTGCTTTTCAACATAGCCCTTTGCTGCTAATGGTTGAGCCCAATTTCCAGCCCAGTGCTCTTTCATCAGTTGGCTGTGCACTGGACCATCAGGCGGAGAAAAGTTAATGAGGGGAAAGTGGTCATAGCAATTGCCTGGTAAATGAATCATGTAACTGTCGGGTGACTAGGCATTCCCGTTTAGTTGGGCTGTCTGAACTGATTAGTCTGGAACAGGGTTTCTGTCAGCATTTTGTATCAATTGGCTAGATTTTCAGCTAGCATACTAGGCATGTGCTGCTTCCTTAACTGCACAAGAGACCCTCCGAATATTAGATAATATTTTGAGTGATTGTACTATAGGCAGCTGGAGAGATTCTTCCCACTCATCTTCCAGTATTCCTTTTTCAAAGTATGGGTCACATCTACACTATACATTTGAAACACTCAAACCACTTTCCCCAAAGAATCCTGGCTTCCCTGAAATAATCCTAGGAACTGTAGTTGATTAAGAGTGCTGACATCACATAGCTACAGCACCCTTAATAAATTACAGTTCCCAGGATTCTCAATGACTGTTAAAGTGGTATAAGAATGCTTAAAATATATGGTGTGGATGTATCTTTCATCATCAGTTTAGCCTTAGGTGAATGGCTTTACTAGTTTGAAGGAATGTGGTTGCAAGCTGGGGGGCAGGAGCCTTAAGACCTTTCCCCCTCTTCATTTCCTTCCTTCTCTGTACCACTGTGTGCCACTCAGTAACATATCAATCATGGCTGATTGCTCTGAATATCTACAGAACGTGCAAATGCTGTACATTTGCAACCATTGTTTTTCAGGTGGCATGTAAACATGTAATGTTTAATGGTTGTCTCACATCAATAGAGTGATAAATGTGCTTAATTCCACAGCTCTGCAATCAGGCATAGGAGAACACATTTACAGCCCTCTGTTAGCAATCACATTTCTCCTTTGCATTGAAGCACCTGTGTTTCCAAACACCATCTTAAATAAATAAATAAATAAATAAATAAATAAAACACAATTTATAAGGGGAGATGGGGGTATTTCACTTCCTGAAACTCAAATGGTATGCTCTAAAACCCGATTATATTGCCGTCTTTTTTCCAAATTGAAGACATTTCCTACCCTGAAATCTAATTTTTCACAGCCCCAACCTGATTTTTGAAAGTGTTTTGTCTTTTTCTTGGTGCATACAAACTCCCTGACTCACATCTCAGAATTTATTCATGTCATGAGTCCATGATTTCCTGGAAAACAAAACAGAAAAAACCCCCAGCACTAAAACATACTTCCTATCTATTTTTGCTGAGAAAGTTGAGTGATCACAGATGGCCAAAGCATGTCTTTCATGCCTGCAGTCCCCCACTTCCCAAGCCAAAATATGAAATATGGGTTGGCAGAGCCATGAGCTGGGGTAAGGTGCTAAGCCAGCAGTGAGAATGGTGTATTAAAGACAGGAGAAAGCTTGCTAACTTCTCAATTGGGGAATTGTAATGCTGAAACAGGAAGGAGGACCATGGGATTTGCAGTTTCCTCTGCTGTTCAGATTTAATGGGAAAACAGAGGAAATGATACTCCCCATTCCCAGACAGGAAATTGTGCTCTTGAACTCTCCCTATTCTGGATATGCCCCCATCATTGATTTGTTTGACTATATCTCATTTACATCTCATGGTTGTAGACACAGCTGAGTCGCACACGTAACAAGGAAGATGAAGAGACAGAGAAATGTGTGTGTATGTGTAAGAGAGATTATCACATTCACACAAGAAAAAAACACACCCCTGTTTCTTCTTCTTTTCTTTGCACGAAGTCTGACATAATTCCTCAGATATTAATTTCAGGGGAGGGGAGAACAGAAAAACAAACACCCTTCTGGCCCGTAACAAATATATTCACTGTAGGATCTGCCAAGGCAACTGCAGCTCAGGTTTAATTGTAGTTGGACAAATGGGGCTAGTATAGCAGTGAGGCAAGTGTAATAACAATAAGGCTGCTTAAATGAGATTGAATACAGCAGCGAGACTGAATTTAACCTTGCATTAGACAGTTTTAAAAGGGCCCTGGGTAATGATGCTTATAAAAGCTTCTGGACAATAATGGACACATTGGGAAAGTTCAGAGCACAACTAGCTTTGGGGAAGTAATGCAATTCCAGCCTCTGCCTCATTGCTAATGGCTAGTTTTTGCCAAAAGCTTCACGGCCCCATAACTGAAATCAAGATGAATCAAGAGAATTACTCAGCAGCTTATAAAAAGGAAATTTAGAGAATATGACATGAACACCAAAATGGATTTTCCTCCTCCCTTCAAAATATGGATTCGCTGCTCCCATCAGTAGCTTGAAATTAGACAGCAGGCAACTGATTCCTTCCTTCCTTCCTGAACGGACACTTTAGCACAAAGCTCACAGCAATGTGCTGCCTGGCATGGTTCTAATGCTCTGCCTTCTTTATGACATAATATAATTGATGGCATATATGCAGAACAAGTGCTAACCAACCAGATAAACAATTTGTCTTCCTGTTTGCTTTGGAGTGTTGGTAAAGACTTCAAAACCTTGTTCCCCGGTGCTAGCTCGGAACAAGAATGCAGATAATATTAATGAACCAGAAGCTGTTTTGACATGTGTCTCATCCATTAGCTAAATAGCATTGCAAAGCCAGTAGCACACTGACCTTGTTTTGAGATGTTCACAGTGATTCTGTCCATTGCAATGTAAGGTGTCATAAAATGGCACTCCTATTTATAAAGAAATAAGCAGTTTGGGGGACAGGAGAAGGGATATACCTGGATTGATTCCAAGATTGTTTAAAACACCCACCCACCCCAAAACAAAACAAAACAAAACAAAACACAAAGCTGAATTCATAATTATTTTTCTTATACTTCCATTAAGAAAGAAGGGTGATGAAGGTTGGGCTTTCATGTTTTGAACTACCATTATTTCTACTAATTTGAAAAAGCATGCTAGGCAATGCAATCCTAGGTTTGAAAGCAAGTTAGGACGGCTCCTGTGCCCCCCCCATACAAAAGAGAGCATAGATGTTGTTGTTGTTTAGTCGTTTAGTCGTGTCCGACTCTTCGTGACCCCATGGACCAGAGCACGCCAGGCACTCCTATCTTCCACTGCCTCCTGCAGTTTGGTCAGACTCATGTTTGTAGCTTCGAGAACACCGTCCAACCCTCTCGTCCTCTGTGGTCCCCTTTTCCTTGTGCCCTCCATCTTTCCCAACATCAGGGTCTTTTCCAGGGAGTCTTCTCTTCTAATGAGGTGGCCAAAGTATTAGAGTCTCAGCTTTAGGATCTGTCCTTCCAGTGAGCACTCAGGGCTGATTTCCTTAAGAATGGATAGGTTTGATCTTCTTGCAGTCCATGGGACTCTCAAGAGTTTCCTCCAGCACCATAATTCAAAAGCATCAATTCTTCGGCGATCAGCCTTCTTTATGGTCCAGCTCTCACTTCCATACATCACTACTGGGAAAACCATGGCTTTAACTCTACGGACCTTTGTTGGCAAAGAGCATAGATATGCAAAGAGCATATGCTCTTTGTTGGCAAAGAGCATAGATATGCAAAAATAAATAAATGTATATGTTAATAGATAGAAATACAGTGCATCTCACTTTATGGAGAAGATTGTGATCAGGGGAGCTGTGTGGCACTGCTTTCTCAGTGTACTATTTTGTGTGCTGTTGATGGGAAATTTCAAGTCCTTTGCTCTCCTTTTTTATGGTTCTTTTATCTTAAAATTGAACTTGGACTTTCAAGAAGAGGAATCCCTCAAATGTCCTCTGAAAGTCCTTCCTCCTGTGTTTGAAGGTGTTTATTTCCTTCTAAGAGGGAAATCCTATGCCAAGATCCACCAGCATAAGTAGCTGGTTCCTGACTCAGCCCAGTTCAATCTGTGCTCATCCTGGTGTTCAGGCAAGGCCAGCACACTCAAGAGAAAAGGTGAGATGGCTGCCTTGGTTGGCAGGATACACAGGTGTGGCTGATCCAGCTTCCAAGGAATGTCTCACCTGCTGTTGCTGCGTGGTGCCCACAGCAGTGGCTTCCTCCTCTATGGAGGCTGGGTCTGCCTCCTCCTCAGCAGAGCCCCCCAATATTGCCTCCTCCCAACCCCTGTACCTGATGTTGATCTTTATTTCCCCCTTTTTCTGATGTAGCTCTTCACTCCCCTCTTTTTTTCTGATAGGTAGGTGCCAAAATGGGCTAATCCTGTGTACTGGGCATGGTGGGGCTGGGACCAGAGAGCAAGGACTTAGGCTGGATTTTCCACTCATTCAGCTTGGTCATGTGATCTGGCAACTGGGCATTGTTGTTGTTGTTTAGTCGTTTAGTTGTGTCTGACTCTTCGTGACCCCATGGGCCAGAGTACGCCAGGCACTCCTGTCTTCCACTGCCTCCCGCAGTTTGGTCAAACTCATGCTGGTAGCTTCGAGAACACTGTCCAACCATCTTGTCCTCTGTCGTCCCCTTCTCCTTGTGCCCTCCATCTTTCCCAACATCAGGTTCTTTTCCAGGGGGTCTTCTCTTCTCATGAGGTGGCCAAAGTATTAGAGTCTCAGCTTTAGGATCTGTCCTTCCAGTGAGCACTCAGGGCTGATTTCCTTAAGAATGGATACGTTTGATCTTCTTGCAGTCCATGTGACTCTCAAGAGTCTCCTCCAGCACCATAATTCAAAAGCATCAATTCTTCGGCGCCCAGCCTTCTTTATGGTCCAGCTTTCACTTCCATACATCACTAATGGGAAAACCATAGCTTTAACTATACAGACCTTTGTTGGCAAGGTGATGTCTCTGCTTTTTAAGATGCTGTCTAGGTTTGTCATTGCTTTTCTCCCAAGAAGCAAGCGTCTTTTAATTTTGTGGCTGCTGTCAGCATCTGCAGTGATCATGGAGCCCAAGAAAGTAAAGTCTCTCACTGCCTCCATTTCTTCCCCTTCTATTTGCCAGGAGGTGATGGGCCCAGTGGCCATGATCTTCGTTTTTTTGATGCTGAGCTTCAAACCATATTTTGCGCTCTCCTCTTTCACCCTCATTAAAAAGTTCTTTAATTCCTCCTCACTTTCTGCCATCAATGTTGTGTCATCTGCATATCTGAGGTTGCTGATATTTCTTCCAGCAATCTTAATTCCTGCTAGGGATTCATCCAGCCCAGCCTTTCGCATGATGAATTCTGCATGTAAGTTAAATAAGCAGGGAGACAATATACAGCCTTGTCGTACTCCTTTCCCAATTTTGAACCAATCAGTTGTTCCATATCCAGTTCTAACTGTAGCTTCTTGTCCCACATAGAGATTTCTCAGGAGACAGATGAGGTGATCAGGCACTCCCATTTCTTTATTTTAAAGGCCTGTTTTTCCTATGCCAGGGTTAGGCAGAGTAGCTGCTGTCCCACTGCTGAATGCGGTTTGGATCTGGTATAACTTTACGCCAGTTTAACTTACATCAGTGTGCCTTATGCTATCTTCTCGTGTGTGGGATTGCTCTCTAAATGTGTTTAGGATTGCAAGCAATTGTTGGTGTAAGAAGCAACACTTCATTAAATTTTAGTACAAAGCACTTCCATCTTGGTTAGCCTTCCAGCCTGTTCTGTCTGACTTCCTTTCTGAAGCTGGCCACACCCTTTCGTTCCTAATCTATTTCTCCTTGTTTCTTCCATCCCATTTCTTACAGGAGCCTTACCCTCACATAAACTTTCTTGGAGCGATAATATGGGATTGGTGACTATTTTTGAGAATAATACTACTGAAAGCTTCATATTTATAAGTCTTCTTAAAGGTATCACACTATTCTAAAACTTAATCAACTGATCAGAGGTTACTTAAATCCTGATTGAAGGTTTAAGCTGGATTTTAAAATGGTTATGTCCCCATTATATAAAAGAGGTTATATAATGGCGTAGATACATTTTATTATATAAATGTAATAAAAAACATGTTTGAACTTTGCTGTAGTAGGGCTTTATTGTGGCATTATCTGAGGTAGGCATATCAACAGGAATCCTAGGCATGCAATAGGTTGCTATCTAGGATAGTGGAGAATGAGTTGGGGGCACTATACAGTCGTATCTTGGAAGTTGAATGGAATCTGTTCTGGAAGTCTGTTCAACTTTCAAAACATTCAAGAACCAAACTGTGGCTTCTGATTGGCTGCTGGAAGCTCCTGCAGCCAATCAGAAGCCACAGAAGCCCTGTCAGATGTTCAGGTTCCCAAAGAACATTCACAAACCGGAACAATCTGGGTTTGCGGCATTCGGGAGCCAAAACGTATGAGTTTCGGGGTGTTTGACGATCAAGGTATGACAGTACTGAAATGTGTTCCCAGAGTAGCGTGAATCAGCAGGGGTCAAGGGTATAGCCTCAGGGGAGGATCTCTTGCTTGGTATCAAAACAGTCTAGGTATCCCATCAACCCTGAGGCCTGTAAATGTATTGTGATCTGATCTCTCTGATGGTATTTTCTCTGCCTCTTCTCGGGTTGGTGGACTTTTTCTTTACGTAGCCAGATTTTCCTCATGACTCTCCTTTTCAGAAGAAAGCTCCTAAACATTAATCACGCTAATTAATGCTATCAGTCCTTGTTAATTGTTTTGCCTGCCTGTGTCGAATAGCTAAGTGCTTGTGTCCAGACTTGATACCGTGGGGCTTGAAAAGAGATGCCTCTCGCTTAATGTAGGGTCAGGACTGAGCAATCATTCCAGACACTGTGTGATATATATTGAATAAATTGTTTTGCTGGTTTAACACATGAAATATTCACTAGGAAGATGAACTGTAAAAACAACATGGATGTGGGAATTCACAATGAGATGCCAGACAGGTCTGATAAGTAACTTGCAGTTCTAAAGCAGTAGGGGTGGTTACATGCATTTTCATACTGAATTGCTTGGGATTCCATAGCATAATTACTTTTCCCCCTGCAAATAGAGACACACACAGATACAAACAGCCTTAAGGCACAATGATGATTTGTGTGAGAACTCCTATTAATTGAAATCAAAACATTCCAATCAGTCATACAATCAAGCCACAGCGAAACTCAAATTAAATCTCCTTAAGTAGTTAAGAAATATTTTCATGTAGCACCTTTATATTCTGCTGCTTCATTGGTAAGGAATAATAATAGTAAAAACAACAAAGCTTCGATGAAAACACACAATTCATTTCTGGTTGTAAATGAAAGAGCAGAAATCCTAATGGAAGCTATTGCTAAGTTAATTGCACTGGCCACAGCTGAGCATGTTGTTTTAGAAAGCAGTGTGGGCACCTTGCGGTATGAACAACAACATCAAAAACCCTGCAGGGAAATAATGCAATGCCTGGATATCCTGCCGTTTCACTGCATCCTTGTCTGCCCTGAAGGGAATTCTCATTTTCAAGTGATTCCATTTTACTTGTGGGGAGTTTGTGCCAATCTAATCATGGATGAATAACAGGCTCGAAACCTTAATATACAGTGACCATTCATCCATAAAACTGAAAATGTTAAAAGGCACCCTCTGAAACAACTGCGCTCAAGAATTCAAATGCCTCAGTGTCCAAATGTAAGTGATGCCAGGGGCACATCTAATAAGGCTGATAAAATGTAGTTTGACGCTTTTAAATAGATGAAGCAGTTGCGAGACAACACACAGATTGGTTCAGTGGATAACAGTTCTCTGTGGAAATTGTCTGTGCACAGGCTCTGGGCATTATCATAACAACCACCCCCAAGTTATAAATAAGCACTGGATGAAGAACAAGGGGCTTTAAATGAAATACTGGCTGGTTCTTTGGGGAGATTTATACCAAGGTTGCCCAAGGCATTTTTGCGCCTTGTGTGAAATACTTAAAAGATGATACATAAAATTAGACCTGTAACAAGGTATTGTATCCCCACTAGAGCAGTGCATAAGTGGCCTCTAAAATTTTTCCACTGTATTTGTGGGCAGAGAAGTTAGGGGACTGAATTTCTTTGGTTGAGAGTGAGAAATTTCTCTACAGGTTCCAAGGATAAAGGCTTACCACTTTCACAGTCTTTCCTCCCTATTTTTTTCTATATTGGCAGCCCAAACACTGTTTTCCATCCTCCAGAATGCCCCAGACCTTCCTGGGCATTGGGTGTGGGAGGGTGTGGGAGGGTGAGTAATGGTGGCCTCCACAAAAAAAGTTTGAGAGTATTAAAGGAGAAAACACCTGCAAAGTGGCCTTCTTTTTCTAGGAAAATCTTTTTATCCAGGCTCATGTACTGTGGTGGTCCCACTGTCTTTCTGTTGCCTCTCAGTCATTTTGAACGTGCTATGGCTGTGTCGACCACAGCAAACTATGGCAAGTTCTTAAAGAAATGGGAGTGCCTGATCACCTCATCTGTCTCCTGAGAAATCTCTATGTGAGACAAGAAGCTACAGTTAGAACAGGATATGGAACAACTGATTGGTTCAAAATTGGGAAAGGAGTACGACAAGGCTGTATATTGTCTCCCTGCTTATTTAACTTATATGCAGAATTCATCATGCGAAAGGCTGGGCTGGATGAATCCGAAGCCGGAATTAAGATTTCCAGAAGAAATATCAACAACCTCAGATATGCAGATGACACAACCTTGATGGCAGAAAGTGCGGAGGAATTAAAGAACCTTTTATTGAGGGTGAAAGAGGAGAGCACAAAATATGGTCTGAAGCTCAACATCAAAAAAACGAAGATCATGGCCACTGGGCCCATCACCTCCTGGCAAATAGAAGGGGAAGAAATGGAGGCAGTAAGAGATTTTACTTTCTTGGGCTCCGTGATCACTGCAGATGGTGACAGCAGTCACGAAATTAAAAGACGCTTGCTTCTTGGGAGAAAAGCAATGACAAACCTAGACAGCATCTTAAAAAGCAGAGACATCACCTTGCCAACAAAGGTCTGTATAGTTAAAGCTATGGTTTTCCCAGTAGTGATGTATGGAAGTGAGAGCTGGACCATAAAGAAGGCTGGGCGCCGAAGAATTGATGCTTTTGAATTATGGTGCTGGAGGAGACTCTTGAGAGTCCCATGGACTGCAAGAAGATCAAACGTATCCATTCTTAAGGAAATCAGCCCTGAGTGCTCACTGGAAGGACAGATCGTGAAGCTGAGGCTCCAATACTTCGGCCACCTCATGAGAAGAGAAGACTCCCTGGAAAAGACCCTGATGTTGGGAAAGATGGAGGGCACAAGGAGAAGGGGACGACAGAGGATGAGATGGTTGGATGGTGTTCTTGAAGCTACCAGCATGAGTTTGATCAAACTGCGGGAGGCAGTGGAAGACAGAAGTGCCTGGCATGATCTGGTCCATGGGGTCACGAAGAGTCGGACACGACTAAACGACTAAACAACAACAACAAATGGCTGTGGGCATGGACTACTCAAGCACTCTTACCCCATCTTCATAACCCCAAATTTAATAAGGACTGAGAATGGGGCCATAGCTCAGTGGGAGATAATCTGCTTTGCTTGCAGAAGTTCCCAGGTTCAATGCCTGCCATCTTCAGGTAAGGTTGAGAGAGACTCTTGGCTGAAGCCCTGGGGAGTAGCTGCCAATCAAACTGAGCTACATGGGCAATGATCTGACTTAGTCGGCTCTGGATCCATTCCAGTCTGGCTTCCGCGCTGGTCATGGGACCGAGACGGCTCTGGTCGCCCTAACAGATGATCTTCGTAGACAGCTGGATCGAGGCGGGTCGGGGCTGCTGATTCTTCTAGATCTGTCAGCAGCTTTCGACATGGTTGATCACGAACTTCTGGACCACCGCCTTGCCGACGTGGGGATCCAGGGCACAGTCCTTCAGTGGCTGCGCTCGTTTCTCTCTGGTCGGGGACAGAGGGTGGCGCTTGGGGGGGAATTGTCATCGCGCCACTCCTTGGTGTGTGGAGTACCTCAGGGTGCGATACTCTCCCCGATGCTTTTCAACATCTTTATGCGCCCCCTTGCCCAGCTTGTTCGGAGTTTTGGGCTGGGTTGCCATCAGTATGCCGATGACACCCAACTCTATCTGTTGATGGATGGCCATCCTGACTCGGCCCCAGACACACTGACCAGATGTTTGGAAGCTGTGGCTGGATGGTTACGTGGGAGCCGGTTGAAGCTAAATCCTTCGAAGACAGAGGTCCTGTGGCTGGGACGGGGCGATATGGGATTGGGGGGGGCAACTCCCATCTCTTGCGGGGGCGCAATTAGTGCCAGCACCGTCGACACCTCCCTTTCCATGGAGGCGCAGATTGCAGCTATAACAAAGGCGGCATTTTTCCATCTCCGCCAAGCTAAGCAGTTAGCTCCTTACCTCTCTTGCCCTGACCTAGCCACTGTGATCCACGTGACGGTCACCTCCAGACTGGATTATTGTAACTCGCTCTACGTGGGGCTGCGCTTGAGACTGACCCAGAAACTCCAGCGAGTGCAGAATGCTGCAGCGAGACTCCTTACGAGGTCTTCGCTGCGAGATCACATTCACCCGGTGCTACACCAGCTGCACTGGCTCCCGGTGGAGTACAGGATCAGGTTTAAGGTGCTGGTTTTAACCTTTAAAGCCCTATACGGCCTAGGACCCTCGTACCTACGGGACCGCCTCTCCTGGTATGCCCCACAGAGAAACTTACGGTCTTCAAATAAAAACATCTTGAAGCTCCCAGGCCACAGAGAAGTTAGGCTGGCCTCAACTAGAGCCAGGGCTTTTTCGGCTGTGGCTCCGATCTGGTGGAACACTCTGTCAGAGACCAGGGCCCTGCGGGACTTGACATCTTTCCGCAGGGCCTGCAAGACAGAGCTGTTCCACCAGGCCTTTGGCCAGGGCACAGCCTGACTCCCTCCCTCGGCAATCTTCGCGGAGCTCTGGCCCAATGGTTGCCAGTGGCCTGAATTAATTAATTTTATAATGAATGATTTTAGAGTGTTGTTTATGCTATACTTTTATACTGTTTTATTGTTGTTAGCCGCCCTGAGCCCGGCTTCGGCTGGGGAGGGCGGGATATAAATAAAATTTATTATTATTATTATTATTATTATTATTTATTATTATTATTATAAGGCAGCTTTCTATGTTCCTGTGTATCCATGCAGAGCAAACGGCACACCTAGCTCGACCGCAAAAGTGATGGCATCCAGGGAGAAGCAGAGCCAGCCAACCAGATTATTTTCGTTTTCAGATTAGCATCACAAGAGCTGCAGGGGAATCAGCTCTCGAAGTGGAGCTCCTGCACCTTTAGCTAACCTATATGGCTTGAATCCAAGGTATAAATATTCCAGTGCTTCTGCTTTAATTGACTCTGTATAACCATGTCAAATAAGAGCTGGTGCTTCTATGGAAACCATGGCTTGTAGCAGGATGGAAGACAAGAGAGTGCGAGATGAAATGGCTCTCAGATCGTTTGGGCCACATTTCTTGACATTCTAACTGAACAGACACTTCAGGTTTCAGAGAAATCACGTAGATTTTCCTTTTCCTTTATTCCTCTGTCATATGCAGTGCCCATTATTATGGCTCAACGCTAGGTCTTTATGCAGCTATAATGAAAAGGCATGAATGTGACAAATCTGCAGGAATAGGCATGCTGTTAAATGAAAAGAAACAGTTTCTTCTCACACTGACTTTGATTAGAGGCTCTGGATTATTGATGCTCCTGATCAAATGGAGACAAAAGTCTCTTATAGTTGAATGATGAAGCCTCCTCCTCTTACATTCAAATGAAGATATTTCAAGATGTCTCATCACTGAGGCTACATCTTTGCAAAGAAGGGGAAATATTCCTTTTAATTACAAATGGTAGCTGGGATCCAAAGTGGTATTTCAGCTTAAGAGTGGTCCACTGGAAAGAGTGACATTCCCCCCCCATGAGCAACTGATTGTGGTGCCTGTAACAGGACTAAGAAAAAGAAAATCTCCCAATTTCAATGCCACGCCCACCGTTTTTAGGCTACAAAACTGAGCAGTCATTTTGGTGACTGGAGGGGACAAAAAGGAAGTGAAGGTGGCAGCAACAGCAGTTCCAGATGTCTGGAATGCTGATGACCACTGATTTCTCTATCCTCTACAGAGGTCCTTTGTAGCCCTCACTGTACAAGTGGCTTTGTCAGCATGTGGAGTCATTCTGCAGCTAAGGAGAGGGAAGACAATGTTGGGGTGTGTGTGTAGTGTGTGTAATTGCATCCATTTGTTAAAACCCCAGAAGCCTTTTTGTTAGGAAATTTAGGGCAAGATTTGCCAAAGGAAAAGCATAGACTCTTTATGTACGCTACAACTGCTGCAAGGATGTTACTGGTGCAAAGATGGAAAAGCAATAAAATACCAACTAAAGAAGAATGGCAAGAAAAACTTACAGAATATGCTGACATGGCAAAACTAACTGACAGACTACAAAATAATGACAAAAAAGTCATTTAAGGAAGATTGGAAACCATTTTTGGCTTCTCTACAGAAACAGTTCAAAGAACTGAACTCATTAGCAGGTTTCGAGTAAACATTTACAAGTAACAAAATGTATATAAATTATAAGATCATGCACGGGATCTCTGTTGGATGTGGCATTCTTCCCAGTGGGGTGACATCTCCACCTCATTCTAACCTTTTCCATTCAGCAGATCTGGACTCTGCTGGTTAGTATCCTAAAGCTCTCAACTGGTATCAATGAAGCACTGCTGATTTAGGCGTTGTCTTTTCAAGCCAGGGTTGAAAAGATGGTCTTACAATATGCACAAGCATGAACATCGGCTCACAGCAATGGAGTGAAGAAAAAGTGTGTGGGCAAGGTTGACTTCAAGCAAAAGATTATTTATATTTACTTATTTGTCATTGTTTATATCTTTCCTTCTCTCCCTCCCAAAAAGGAGCACAGGGTGACTAACAAAATAAAGCAACACGTTAATCATAAACCTATTTAAAACTTTATCATCAGTATAAATAGTGACAGATAATATCTGCTGAACACCAACCATACCCCAGATACACAAACAAGCTCAAATCCAGCTTGATTTCAGATTAAACCTCCGAATCACCAAAACAACTTACAGTGAATTTTTCAGTAATTTTTTTTCAGCCAGTGCCTAGAGGGTCACTCTGTGTTTTACAAAGCTATTATTGTCTCTCAAAAGAAACACCATTTCTGCCGAGTTTTACCTGCTTGCTTGTGCAAACAAGTGTTTCAGAAAGCAATCTCCTGGATTTATATATAAGGGGAAGGCTTAACAGATAATGAGTGATGTCTTCATTAAAATACATAAACTCTTGGGTTTAGGGTTGCATTATCTGGTTTCCATCTTAAGTTGAACTCTTGACTGCTGCTTCAATGGATTGTGGACAAGGGGGTTAGGGGATCCTGTCTACTTACTGATCATTTGTTCTGTTTTTTTTAATGGGGAGGTAGATTATGTTACATTAAACCATGGGTAGGCAAACTAAGGCCCAGGGGCTGGATCCGGCCCAATCACCTTCTAAATCTGGCCCACAGATCATCCAGAAATCATCCTGTTTTTACATGAGTAGAATGTCATTTTATTTAAAATGCATCTCTGGGTTATTTGGGGGCCTAGGAATTCATTCACCCCTCCCAATATAGTCTGGCCCCCACAAAGTCTGAGGGACAGTGGACCCCCTGCTGAAAAAGTTTGCTGACCCCTGCATTAAATGGTTTCTAGTACATTTTCTAGTACATTTTCTGGTCACTTTCCTTATGACAAATAGTCCAGTTTTTTCAGTTTTTTAAACTAGCTGCACAAGAAAACCAAATCAGTTGCACTTGCAGAACCATTATGTGATTGAACTCCACTCAAAATAGTGCCAACCTCATGTATAGTTCAATGCATCTGAATTTCCAGATTTTAGGTCACCCTGGAAATAATTCAGGTACAGTGGTACCTCGGGTTACAAACGCTTCAGGTTACAGACTCCGCCAACCCGGAAGTAGTACCTCGGGTTAAGAACTTTACCTCAGGATGAGAACAGAAATTGCGTGGTGGCAGCGGGAGGCCCCATTAGCTAAAGTGGTACCTCAGGTTAAGAATGGTTTCAGATTAAGAATAGACCTCCGGAACAAATTAAGTTCTTAACCAGAGGTACCACTGTATTACGCTTGAGATACAAGTAGCATAAGGCTTTGAGGTTCGATGTACCAGGGAAGAACACTTTAAGTGGTGATTCCAGTGTTTTCATTATTGGCTAGTGGGCAGAGTCAACACGATCCTATTCTTTAAGATTCTATGAAAGCGCCCTAAGGTATATCTAATGCAAGAGCCAGAAAGAAGTGGTTAAGACTGTTGGACTAGGATCGGGAAGGCATAGGCTCAAATCCCTACATTAGTTTCCAGCTTACCTGGAGACCTTGGGCTAGTTATCTTTATATCTAACCCAGCTCATAGGATTGTTGCAAGAATAACATTGAGGAAAACCATGCACACAGCTTTGTGGTCTTTGGAGGAAAGGCAGGATAGAAATGTAATACATTCTCACTTGTGCCTTTCAAAATCCACCTTGTAAACCTTACTTAGTGCAATTGAGCAATAACATCCCTCCCCATGGCAATGGCACCTTTTTCTTAGTAGGTGGAGCAGTTCTTGGCATGTTGATATTATAGTTAGGTTTGCCTCTCTTTTTGTTTTCTGAAATAAAATAGAAAGGAGAAAAGTTTTGAAGCGCTGTGGTGGGAACTTATCAATATTGATGCTGTGTTCTTTGAAGATCTATAGTGCTAGTAGGACTGGGGAAAATATTCCTATTGAACCTTGATCTTGCTCAGAGTGAACCCTCTGCTAGGTTCAATTTATCATGTGGAAGTGCATGGACTTTCCCCCTCACCCTATCATGTGATCTCCATCAGCTCACTATAATCTGAGCTAGTCTTTGTTTCTTCTCAACTACTGCTTTCTTGATCTCCACAGTCATTTTTCCTTAGCTACTCCGTATATTTATTTGACTGCATAAGTAGCAGGTGGTATTGCAGATGCAGTATTTTTCTGTCCAGAAGTTTTCAAATGCCTTTGCTTTCCCCTGTTATATTAAAAGGACTGGTGTTGGGGGTCAGCACCTGCCTATGTCCCAGCACAGGGGCCTGCACCTGTATTCCCACTCCTTACCATCCTCACCACTGCCACCTGCTTGCTCATTCTCCCCTTTCCTCTGGTCCAGAAGAGGTGAGAAGGTGAATGACAGCAGCAGTTGGAAAAGCAGCAGCTGCTACCACCTAACTGCTCACAGAGTCCTTTTTATCTGGCAAAAGCTCAAAGTGGTGGGTGTGAGGAAGGCTCCCAGTGACAGGCAGCTGACACTGAAAGAGGGGAATGCCTGATCGGGCCTTGCTCAGGGCCCCCTGAAAGTGGGCTGGAGCTGACACTGAGACTTCATTAAAATGTTTATGCCCACAAGAATTGCCCTGCTGAATTAGAGAGAGATCCAACTGGTCCACCATTTTATTTCCAAAGGTAGCCAATCAGATGTCTCTGGAAACTTATAAGCAGGGCATGAAATGAGTAGTTTCCCTTTATATCTGCCTCCAGCATGTTCTGCTCACTTTATTACTCTACTTCTTATTTGAAGACCTGCAATGAGAAATGTCCATCCTTCCTTCTGAACCTCCAAAAGGGAACAAGACTTTCCCTATCTAATTTTTGTGAAGTCAAGAGATGGACTCCACCTGGGAGCAAAGTACAGTATTTTAATGATAACCCTGCTATACCATCACATTCCTTTAAAAAGAAATTTTGCATGCTCAGGCATATTTTATGGGAGACAGAAAGAATTAAAGAACTTGAGTAGGAATTTGGTCAAGTATCACAAAGGAAGACCTATATTCTTTGATAAGGTCAGTGAAATCTCACCTTCCCCTGCTGGAATTAGCCATTATGCTACCCTACCTTTTTTGCCTGGAAACAGGTTGTTCATCCACAACAGTGAACATAGGAAGAATGAGAAGAAATGCCATAGTGCATCTGCAGCAGCATAACTGGATGCTTTCATCTGCCTCAGCTGCAACAAAACATGTCTCTCCTGTATTGGTCGCTACAGCAGGCACAGTAAATCTCCAGTGCTTTGACTTCGCTTCCAAAGGCGCACCCCCCCCCATGTCTCCTGAAACAGACAGATTCCAACAACAACAACAACAGGTACATCCAGTATTCAAAAGTTTCCCAGTCTGAGCCTCGTTTGGCTAACTTTGACTGTAATCCTATACATGGTTACCTGGGATTAAGTGCTGCTAAAAACTGGGGCAGGGGGAGCTGTATAGGATTGCATTACTGGTTATAAGAAATGTAAATCTGACTCTGCAATGGTAGGAGGTCCACAGAAGTAAGTGGTTTCATTCACATTTAGGTGGGAAATAAATCACAGTGTTGTAGTAGATAAAATTTTGGAAGTGGACCAAATTCCTACTCTGCTATGAGGCTCATTTGGTGACCTTGGACCAATCCCTCTTTCACACTATCTCATCACTATCGATCTCTCGGATCTGTTGTGAGAATACAGTAGGATAATCTTCCTGGAAATCCTTACAAAAGTTAGCCCAGGATACAAATGTGGTTATGCTTTCCTTTCCTTTTTCAATGTCCTTCTGCTGAGCTTCACAGTGGCTTTTAAACATCAGGGGTTTAATAAAACATGGTCTGAGTATTCATCAGTGTTAACCCTAACCTCCTTCTCTACCTGCCAATGTGACATAGGTGGTCAACCAATCCTAGGGATTTCTGAGAATTGAGATGTGCATGCTAATACCCAAGCCGTCCCAGATTTCTTTATAAATGTGTTTGGGAGAAATAAGAGACTCACTGGAATATCTTGAATTGGGCTCCAATGGGATTCACATGTTAGCCTCTGTTTTATCATTAGAATGAATGCTAGAGACACTGTGTCCTTGATGGTTTTAGTTTGGTGTTCTGACATTAACTCTAACCAAGGTCCTTATTTAACCAGCAGAGAGAATGACACACACAAAAACGCATGAAATCAAAGCTGCACTGAATTTAAGAACAAATGTCACCTACACAGGAAGAGCACACTCAAGATAATTGGACTAAGTACAGCTGATTTTTATTTGTTTCTATGCCGTGCAAAGCTTTATTTTTATTTTTATGGGGAAACCATGCAGTAATTGTCCTTTTGCAACTGTAGCCATGACTCATAACAGTGTCTGAGTCATAATGTATTATAGTATCATTGCATCTTATTCACACTTTTTAAAGATTATCATTCAGCACTAGTGTTATTATTTTCTAAAGGGTTTGAATGAGCAGTTTACTAATCTTTAAAAAAAAATCCCTAAATATCATGACAGCAAGCAAGTTCACTGGTTAAAACACTTGTGATAAGGAAGGAGTAGGCTGGAATTCAGTGTGGGCTACTTATTTCCTGCTCTGTAAACCTATTAGACTCCACAATGTAACATTGATTATTTTAAGTTATTACAGTGGTACCTCTGGTTACAAACTTAATTCGTTCTGGAGGTCTGTTTTTAACCTGAAACTGTTCTTAACCTGAGGTACCACTTTAGCTCATGGGGCCTCCCATTGCCACTGCGCGATTTCTGTTCTCATCCTGAGGTAAAGTTCTTAACCTGAGGTACTACTTCCAGGTTAGTGGAGTTTGTAACTCGAAGCGTTTGTAACCCAAAGTGTTTGTAACCCGAGGTACAACTGTATTATTATTATTATTATTATTATTATTATTAATAATAATAATAATAATAATTTGTTGTTGTTGTTACAATCATCTGAAGATCACAGGGAAATTTACAGTATAAAAATACAAAGAATACTTCTCCACAGTTTAAAAGGCCATAGATTGTTTAATAAGCCAAAGGCCCAGAAGAAGAGGAATGTTTTTGCCTGTTACTTAAAGATATGTAGTGAATGCGTCAGGTGAGATTCCCTGAGGAGAGCAACAAGTGGGGAGCCACCACAAAAAAGGCCTGTTCTCATGTTTCTGCCCTCAGGAACTCTTGTGGATGAAGCACATGAATTGTTGTTGTTGTTGTTGTTGTTGTTGTTGTTGTTGTTGTTGTTGCTGTTGTTGTTGCTGTTGTTGTTGCTGTTGTTGTTGTTGTTGTTGTTGTTGTTGTTGTTGTTATTAATTTATTATTTCTACTCTGCCCATCTGGCTGGGTTCCCCCATCCACTCTGGGCGGCTTTCAACAAAATATTAAAAACAGAATAAAACTTCAAACATTAAAACTTCCCTAAACAGGGCTGCCTTCAGATGTCTTCTAAAAGTTGGATAGTTGTTTATTTCCTTGACATCAGATGGGAGGGCGTTCCACAGGGCGGGTTCCACTACCGAGAAGGCCCTCTGCCTGGTTCCCTGTAACCTCACTTCTCACAGTGAGGGAACCACCAGAAGGCCCTCGGCTCTGGACCTCAGTGAAAGGGCCTCTGATGATGAAAAGTTGCAGCCACATTTTATTTATCAATGCAACAGCTTTATATTCACCTGAAACTTTCCCCCCAACATAATCTTGCCTCTTGGACCATTGCTATATTCTAATTTTCAGAATGTTTGTGATACAGTTTTGGACATTACCAGATTCTGCACTGTTTAACATGGTGGTGGTGAATAAGGTCTACTTTCTCACTGTGGGGAATAGCTTTCAAGTCTTTACTTCCATCTGCTTTTCATATCTGTACCCACTGTATTCTATAGTGAATCTAATGGCATACAGCAATTACTGTTTAGGTGGAATATATTTCTTGAATATTGCAGTGGTTATGTAAGGTAGTGTACCGTCTCTTCATAGTATGTGTCTTCTGAAATATCAAAGAAAAGAGCACGATTGAAGTTTGATCATGAAATGACAATTAAGATGCACTAATAGCATGCACCTGCAAGCAACAGCTTGATCAAACTGACAAATCAAGATCTATCAGAATAATGCAAAGGGTGTCCAGTTGTGTGACTTTGAAATAGGAGGAGAGGACACTGGAACCCATCTGGAAAGCTCCCTATTGGGTATTTTTAAAAAAAAAGAAAGAAAGAGAAATTGTGTTAACAACGCACAGCAAACTTTCAGAGGAGGAACAGGAATGTAACAATAGAGAAATGAACTGGTGCAGAACAAACAACATAGATAACAGACTGATGTTTCCCCAAAGGGAAAGGGAAAGAGGATTAATACGTAGTTTAAACATCTTTTTGGTGCCCTTGATTGCATAGCATTTAGAAATTATGTATTAGTAGAATATGTAAAAGCAAAACACGGAGGCTGCTCATGGAGGCTGTGAGAACAGAATGGTAGACTAGATGGGCCTTTGGCTTGATCCAGCAAGACTCTTCTTTTCTTCTTAAATAAATAATAAAAAAATATTATTTATACCCCACCCATCTGGCTGGGTTTCCCATCAACTTGTAGATCAGAATCCATGCTTAGCACTTGTCTTCAGTCCATTCTCAGGGGTTGAGGTATGGTGTCATTCTTTCTTTAAAAAACACACCACATTTTTCTGTTTAAGCCATGTGTAATACCTATCTCCTCATATTTTGCAGAAATCCACTGAGCCCCCTCTCCCTTACATGAGAGGCAGAGCATCTAGGCCAGACATAGGCAAACTTGGCCCTCCAGATGTTTTGAGACTACAATTCCCATCACCCCTGTTAGCTAGGGATGATGGGAGTTGTAGTCCCAAAACATCTGGAGGGCCGAATTTGCCTATGCCTGATCTAGGCAAAGCATGCTGCTTTAAAAATAGCAAGAATAATGGGGGAGACATTAAATAATCTGTTTTCCAGATTAATTTATGTGAACACTGAGCTGCCGTAAGGGTTTCCCAGTGTGAAATTTGCACATCTTCTAACAAAACAGCAGCGTCCTGAGGACTGACAAAGAGTTCTCATCTTTATTTCTGTCTATCATACTTTCTAGTTCTCCATCAAGAATTTCAGAGTGGCCTACATGGGTAGTCTCCTGCAAAAAGAGTTACACTAGGATATATTATCTTGCCAATAACAACCTAGTTGATGAGCTAGATTTCCTTGGGCCAAGCCCAACACTACCCACCCATACCACAGTGCTGTTTGTGGGCAGATCCTGGCTTAAAATGAAATTTGGAGTACATATATTTGACTACAAGTGGTGTGTGTGTGCTGGTGTTTTAGATGACACAACTGAAATAATATATAGTCTCCATACTGCTCCACAGTTAATACTCTTCACCACTTCTCATGATTTATATAGTCTTGGGTAGACAGGGACAGTTACATCTTAGAACTTACATCAGAATTGCACCTGTGGGTCGATCAAATGGCTAATATTTACTCGAACTTCACAGTGGGGTTTCTTTTTTGTTTCCATTTTGGAATTGCAGAAAACTGGGAACCATGCAAAGTTATATTGTTCAGAAAGCCTTTGCATATGATTGCTTCTGCAGTGGCATTATTTTAGGCCAACTAATTTTATTCTTAAAAGAAAAAAAATGTTCTCAGCATGGAACCCATTATGTCATGTGCTCAATCTCTTTTTAAAAGAGTCCACTACATCATGGCCTCAAAATATTGGTCTTCTTTCTGTTTTCCTGTCAGTAGAGATCCACCCTGTGTCTAAAGACAATTTTAAATATAAGGAGTAAAGGTAAAGGGACCCCTGACCATTAGGTCCAGTCGTGGCTGACTCTGGGGTTGCGGCGCTCATCTACGTAGATTTAACAACTCCATTTGGACATTCTGTTTTCAAGGAGGATGAGCATGTCAGGAGCGTCGTAGAAAGGCTGAGTGGGTTGTCAAGAGTGCCATTGGATATGCTGGGTATAGCATCTTAGCTGGTTGTTGCAACTCTGGCACTACAATTGGTGCTGCCTTCTGCCAGCGAAGAGCCACTCCCTTCAGGGAAGGCACAGGGGCCAATATGATAGAGAGCCAGCCTGTACATCTTTCTCTGTCACCAAGGACCAAGAGGTGACAATGCCAGCAGAAACAGCCTACTCAGAGGAGTGCTTGCTTGCCCACCCACCCAGCCCTGAGTCTTGGGGTGCCAATTGCTCAGCCTACTCAGAGGAGTGCTTGCTTGCCCACCCACCCAGCCCTGAGTCTTGGGGTGCCAATTGTGTGAATGAATAAGCTCTCCTGTCTGGTAGGGTGGGCACAAGGACCGTGTTAAATGTTGGGTCTCAGATTATACCTAGTCATGGACTTGTATAACCAAACTTATATATGGGAACAGTAGTGAATCTTGGAATAAAGCTTTTAATTTTAACAGCTGAGTACCAAATCTGTGAGTGGGAGCCAGGACAGAGTACACTGGCTCCACCCCCCTTGTTATTCAACCTGTCTTCTATGAGTTGGAGGCTGACTGTGTGAATCAGGAAGCCTCCTGTATTCATGGAAGCTCCCTTAAACCACATGGGAAGCCCCTGTGGATACAGAAGGCTGCGTGCTTCAAACAGTCACTCAACAACCCATGGGAGGCAATTCGATGAATGAGGAGGTGCTCCTGGTAACATGATTACTTTACCCCCCAAAACACACGTGGCTATGGCTAATGTGAGAAGACTTCATGTGCTTGAATCTGCTTCCAGGTGTTGCTGGACTACAGCTCCCATCAGCCATGCTGTGGAACATCTGGAGGGCAACCCCTTGGCTACCCCTGCTTTCAGCATTAATATCATCTTGAAAGCAACGCTGGAAGGTAACTCTTCATGTTTATTTCGAGTGGTACATTCAAATACAAATACCTAAGTGGCCGAAGTTTACTTAAATTTCTATCGATTTTACCTGATGCTGAACTTCTCCTGACTGCATCTCGATATTGGGAAGTGATATGCTAAGTAATGCAATTAAGGTACAATGTTCCCTGAAGTTACAATTAACTATGACCTTTCTGTGGTTGAAAGTCACAGCACTGCCAAGAGCAGAGGGAAGGAGCTGAAATGTGGAAGACGATCCAACACCTTTAAAATTTTGACAAAAGCCTTTTAAATGCATTGGATTCTTTGGAGATGTTTTAATTAACTCTGTCTTCCATAATGGCCATTTTATTAAAGTCTTGGGCTTGGAATGATGTCAGCTGAGCTTGATCCACACGGCACATCTGTTCTCAGCCGGATTCCTTCGTGCTTGGTGTACATTTTATGGAGCCATGTAAAGGAGGTTGGATCCTATCCAAACGATGAGAAGTAAAAATCTGTTGGGTTGCCTTTGAGCTTGTCATCACTCTGTTGTGTAAATACCTCAAAAAAGTGTGTTTTGGCTATAGGTCCTGTCTAGTTATGAGCAAAGTTAATAAATTGGGGGTGTTGAAGGAGCTGGGAACGATGACACAAATCATGACATGGTAAAAGGGACTGTGTGTGTGGGGGGGTTGTTGTTGTTGTTTAGTTGTTTAGTCATGTCCGACTCTTCGCGACCCCATGGACCAGAGCACGCCAGGCACTCCTGTCTTCCACTGCCTCCTGCAGTTTGGTCAAACTCATGCTAGTAGCTTCGAGAACACTGTCTAACCATCTCATCCTCTGTCGTCCCCTTCTCCTTGTGCCCTCCATCTTTCCCAACATCAGGGTCTTTTCCAGGGAGTCTTCTCTTCCCTTATTGTAGTCTACAGCTGGGAGCAAAGTCTTGACATTGAGCACTAAGAGTTGTAGTAGCACTAAGCAGAATGTTCTGTCAGCGCAAGGATTTCTCCTTGTGAAATGAAACATTCTCCTACTCTCCTCTCCTGTACACCCCCTCAATCCGTTCTTGGGTCCCCATACCCCCACCTTCCAAAGCAGATGTGAGGATGGCATGAGTTGTACACAGAGGGAGGAAAGTATCAGGAATCACCTTGTGCCTAGTGCTAATTCTTGGACGTGTGCTGATAAAAGGAGCTGAGCACTGGTTCATCTCCCACAATGAGCACCACTGCTTAAACACATTTGCAGGGGGGCCAGGATGAGATGAGTGACGGGCGGTAGCAGCAAGCAGCAGCAATACCACATCATGGCTCTGGAGGTCTCAGTGATAGAGCAGGGTGGCAGTAGTGGGACATGAGTTCCTGGACCTCAGCATGTTTTTGACAACGATGACCCTTAATTTTTTAGAAAGCTAAGGAGGCTACTAACATTGTTTCCTAACCTTGAGAAGCAAATAAGGAAATATGCTGCATCAAATATGTTCTGCAGTTGAAACAGGGATTTTCTGGGTCAGGGTTCCCCCCCCCCCCAGTGTTTGATAAGAGATGTCAGGTAAGATGCAGCTTAATTTCCACTCATGGCTTTAACAATCTTTTAGTATTGACATTTTGTACCCCCATGTGATATAAAGTTGTTATGATTCCTTTTCACCCAGCCAGAGTCATTGCTAATTCCTAAAGCGCAATAGTTGTTCGTTGAGTTTTTTCATTCTTTCTGTGGCTGATTGCTAGATAAGAGCAGTTTTCTAGCACAAAGCAAGCACGATTCCCATAAAACAGGTAATTATATTGATGCTTTTAAAGCACAGTGACTTAAAAGTACAAAGCCTGGGCATATTCTATTTTTATTGTAAAGTTCGACTTCCTACATCTTATTTCATAGATTTTTCTTTTTCTTTTCTTTTTTTGTACTTGCAATCACTTCACCACTTTAAAACTGTAATGTAAAAAGTTTAATATGACATTTCTTAAAATCACTGCTTCCAACACTTTTTCTGTGCAATTCTTTCCTGCACTCTTGCCCAAGTATAAATTTTAAAAGAGAAAATATAATAAGTAGACCAGCCAGTGAATGGATGTCATGTTATTAATCTAAACATCTGGCCTTGCACACACTGCCAGTTCTCAAAATGATAATGAATTGGTGGCAATCAACTTGACAAAGTTTAAAGAACAGAACTTGATATTTGAGTGAATTTGGTTACATTACTTTTTGAAACAAATGGAAGGTTCAATATAGAGATTATTTTCTTTTGTCTTTGGGTTGCACAGGCCAAAAGGATTACCATATTTACTCAAATCTAATGCTCACCTTTTTTTTTTGGCCAAATTAAGGTGTGCATTAGATTCTATGGGACCTTTACATTCACCAGCAAACACATTTTTTGGTTGCAAACTTCTTAAAACAGGTGCGCATTAGATTCAATGGGACATTAAAGGTAAAGGTAAAGGGACCCCTGACCATTAGGTCCAGTCGTGACCGACTCTGGGATTGTGGCACTCATCTAGCTTTATTGGCCAAGGGAGCCGGCGTACAGCTTCCGGGTCATGTGGCCAGCATGACTAAGCTGCTTCTGGTGAACCCGAGCAGCACACGGAAACGCCGTTTACCTTCCCACCAGAGCGGTACCTATTTATCTACTTGAACTTTGAAGTGCTTTCAAACTGCTAGGTTGGCAGGAGCAGGGACCGAGCAACGGGAGTTCACCCCATGGTGGGGATTCAAACCACCGACCTTCTGATTGGCAAGTCCTAGGCTCTGTGGTTTAACCCACAGTGCCACCCACGTCCCTCAATGGGACATTAGACTCAAGTAAATATGGTAATCCTTATAAATTCATTTATGCTACTGGTATATTGTCTGTGTTTTGCTAATTGGAAAACTGTATCTGGAGCTTTGTACAAATGGCCTTTCAAAATTCTCTACCACATTTATTTGCAGAGAAATGGTGGGGAAGGGAACAATTGCATCACATTTCTTCATGGGGGAAGAAAAATTCTCCCTCAATAGTTCCTTGGAAATGGGGCTTAGCATTATGGGTAGCAGTTGTGAGAGATTTGCAGTCAAACCTAACTGTGTATGTGAAGGAGTTAAGGACCACAGAGTTCTAATTTGCTAGAGTAGGCTCTGTGATGCAATGTCCCCTCTTCTCCTGAGAGGCAGAAAGCAAGACTTGTTTCTTGTTCCTTTCTCTCTCTTTCTCTCACTCTGCATGCAACAGAGGCAGACATGCCTCAACACATCTCTCTGCCTCTGAGGTTGCCCTGGCTGTATTTTTCAACTAAGAATATTTACCTGCATTTTAACATTGCTACTAAGGACAATGCATCACTGTAAGTAAAGTCTATTTTAAACTTTCTTCGTTGTGTGGTCTGTTTCTCTGCAGGAGGGGTCAAAGGAGTCAAAGTTGGCTCAGTTAGCTGGAACATATTAAACAAAGGTTTAAAAGCCTAAGCCTATGCCTATGCCTATGCCTATGCTTCACTAAATCTGCTTAATGATGGGATTGAAACTCTGCTACTGGGGCTCTTTATATGCAAGCTGTGCTTTTTTTTAAATAAGCACCAGTTGGTTTTCTTTTCTTTTTTTCTAACCTGCACATATAGGTCTGCAGAGAATTAAATGTAATTAATATATCCTCTTATATTGGAGACCTATTGGCAGTAGCATAGTTTTTCTTTTTCCTGATATAGGCAGTCTGGCCACCATTTTATATCCTCCATAGTGTACTGTCCCCCTAGCATCATTCTGAAGCATGGGGTGGTAGGAGGGGTTGAGGAGAAGGTAGCCACCACAAAATGGTGAAGAATATATAGAGAAGATTGAGTGGTCTTCTTTTTCTGTGAATGTAAGCTGAAGAAGAAACTCACATCTTGGAGCTTGCATGAGTTTATGACTGAATTTAGATTTGAGCCAATAACCATTTTATGGGCTGTGAAAGAACCATTTAATCCTGAGAGAAAACGGCTACCAAACCTTATGTAAATGTTCTAATAAGATTCCCCACGCTGTCATTAAAGGCCATTTGGTAGGCAAACTGTTAAGTTTTTGAGGTAAAAAGGTTGCCGGATCACCTTTAGCTTGAGGTGAAGCAATACAGTTGCACATGTGGCCTGTCTGTCAAAAATCCATATAGTTACTATGTAGAAGGAAGTTATCTTTAAGGAGTGTTCTCATAAAGATAAGGGATAATGTGAGCATTTACTACATGAAGTAGCACAGTGGTGGGTTTCAATAAAAGGACAACTTTAACATTTGGTCTCAGTGCAGTGGTACTATAATATATTGCTGCAAGTGGTGAGAGCAGTAGAAATAAGATATAATTACAAAGAGCAGCTAATCTATCACACGTGGTGGCAGGATTGCTGCAATCGACTCCTTTAAAAAATACGGAGTGTTGAGGAAATGTTCAACAGGAACTGAAGGGTGCTTTTTTTTTAATGAGGACATTTGACCTGAAGTTCTGCTAAACAAGGATTTATAAGATAAGACAAGCACATTGGAAATCTTTACAGCCGTGTCAAGCTGTCTGCTGATATCCCAAAATGATCAGTTTATCTCTGAGCACCAAACACATCCAACAGGTAAATAATCACTTTTGAAATAATCTGAAAATCTGGGTTTCGCACACCTTGGTGGAATGTGAACTGCAAATCAGGAAACAGTTGTCATATTTGTATTTTTTTGCTCTGATGAATTCCTTGCCATCAGCTTCTCCTCATTTCAAGACATGTTCATCCTAGATTGGGTTTTTTTACTGATAAGATTTTTTTAATGAAGTTCGAGTGTTTGGTAGTGAAAAGAGTTCACTGGCCATTTAAGCTTCTGTGATTTAAATAGCTGCTTCTCTGTGAATAACGCTTTTACACAAAATTGAATAACACTTTCACATTAATGAATATGAACTGGCTAGACAGGTATTATATGGCCAGCAATTTTAATACATAAGGGCACGTAAACGAAACACTAAACCTTCGAACATTTAAGATTATAGACAGCTATACGCAATATTTTCCTTTTATTGGGAGATAATTTTACAATTAAAGATCTCCCCTTACACTGGATTATGTGAATAGGGGGCCTGTGTTGAGAAGAGGGCTTATCCTTTCAGGTCTACGAAGGTCTATTAACTTTTCCCAGCTACATTTGAGATCCATTTGAGTTTGTTTTTTAAATCCCCCAGTCACCCAGAGCTCATTTTGGGGTAACTTGGAAAACTGTAAGTGTGAGGAGAGGAAGAAGCCCCATTTTGCAAGTGGACATCCACTTAAACTACATTGGATTTCACCCAATAGTACTTACTTCTGAGAAGACATATATAGAACTGCACTGCTAATGCTTGTGTTCAAGTCAAGATGACAAAGATTTCTTTATATGACTTTATATGAAAGTAAGCACCCTTTTAAAGGTGGTCTTCTTTAACGTACAAATGTAGTGTGTTTGATGGGGAGAAGAGTTAAGCAATACACATCTTCCCTTTTGTCTGTTTGATAACACAGAAAATATTCATCTCCTCTCCTGTATTTAAAGATTACATTATGTGAGAGCATTAAAAGCAAACAAATCAGGAATCAAAGGGTGGCATTCAGCTGAGTTTTACTCAGAATAGACCCACTGAAATTAATGGGCCTAACTCAGTTCATTAATTTCAGTAGTTTGGTTCTATCCTGAGTAAAACGTAGCTGAGTGTCCTCCTAATAATTTCTTGACAAGAGAAATTATGCATTTTTATTTCGCAAAATCTTTTTGGGGGACACACACACACACACACACACACACACAAACACACTTCTTTTACTCCAAGAAGTTATGTCCTTGTTCAAACTGGAGCCTTGGCAGTTTGAAAACTAACATGAAGTAGACATGTAATGTTTGCTTAAGCTTTTTTAAATGTCAAAATGAAAAGGTCATAATATTATGTTCAGGTTGCTGAAAATGAGAATAGGGCATTATAAGTGTAGTCGGAAACTAGTTTTCTGTACTTGCAATTTATAAAATGCACTGTAACCTTGCTACTCTGTTTGTTGCCCTTTAAATAGAAAATATCTTCCTTTCCTGCAATTTCTTGTGCTTTCCATTGCTCCTGTATTGGGCAGACAAATGTTCTGTATTGTACCTACAGATTGTACCTATATTGTACCTGTATTGAAATACAACAAATCCTAGATTTTTAGAATGATGTGTATTATTATTATGAAGACTTTTCAGTCTAATTTGAGATCTGTTTTCCCCTGAGTACAGTTTGGATAGTGCAGACTTTACTGCAAACAAAACAATTGTCTTCTACCATTATTTAGGAACATCACCCAACCCCCAGTAATGCTCATTGCCAGGCTAGTAAATTCACAGTCTCTATACTAGTACAATAAATAAGGCAGCAGCTTTCACAGGGGAATAACTTGAAACTGCTGGCAATGGATGATAGAACATCAGGTACTGAAGAAGCTGTATCAATATGATGAGTGCAGCAGAAGAATTCATTGCATTGTCCTTTGTTAAAAGAGAGTAAGTGTTTTTGGAGAATGGAGAAAATGATGAGACAACTTCCATGAGTACAATACTATGTGTCTGCAGCACCCAGCTTGTGCTTGGGGTTTGTGATCCTACTGTTCTCCCTACGCTTGTCTAAGCAGTAACATAACAACCCAATGGACGCGGGTGGCACTGTGGGTAAAACCTCAGCGCCTAGGACTTGCCGATCGCATGGTCGGCAGTTTGAATCCCCGTGGCGGGGTGCGCTCCCGTCATTCGGTCCCAGCGCCTGCCAACCTAGCAGTTCGAAAGCACCTCCGGGTGCAAGTAGATAAATAGGGACCGCTTACCTGCGGGAAGGTAAACGGCGTTCCGTGTGCTGCGCTGGCTCGCCAGATGCAGCTTGTCACGCTGGCCACGTGACCCGGAAGTGTCTGCGGACAGCGCTGGCTCCCGGCCTATAGAGTGAGATGAGCGCACAACCCTAGAGTCTGGCAAGACTGACCCGTACGGGCAGGGGTACCTTTACCTTTACCTTTAACAACCCAATGCTGTAGACATGAACATACTTTTCTGTACATCTCTAAGTTCATCCCGATAGCTGCCTACTGGTTATCCTTCTATTCCCCATTTCTATTCTTCTAGATGAATAATGTCTTCTACCTGGTATTCAGAGCTATTTCTTTTAGAAAAAGAAGTGCCAGAACTCACAATTAATGGCAATGGCGCCCACTTGAGAGGTGCTGGAACTGAGTTCTGGGAAGTTCTGGCTGACAAAAAGCCTTGCATACCCCTACTGAGGCAGACTCTCCCCTACAATTTCATCAGCGATAGTGTTTAATCAAGCCTTGGGTAAAAAAGGGTAACATTTAATGTTCCACAGCTATTTAAAAGGTTAAAGGCATTGACTCTTAATAGCTTTATTATACATTAATTTTTCTGTTCTGCTGCTTGTTTTACTCAAAAGCTACAGTGACTAACACGGATAAATTTGAAGTCTGCCTACTTTCAACTCCTACTTCTCCTTGACATATTCAAAATGTATAGTGGCTAAATGTTCCTGGTAATGCTTGTCCCAAGAGTGACAGATGACAAGTGCTACCACTGCCTTAGGCTGCTTGAAGTTATAAAAAGATTCCTTTTAGCTTCATCATTACAAATTCTCCTTTTATTCCAGAGAGCACCATTTGCATAGTCGATCCATCAATAAGTCAAAAGTGCCAGGCTGACACTTAAACTTGCACAGAAGTCCAATTATTGCAATTTTGTCTGAGGCAATGATATGGATTGTATAAATGATGGTGCCATAAATATTCCAATACAAGAATATAAAAGGAATATTTATTATTTATGCCATGTCCAGAGCACAAAATGGCACAATGGCTTTGAGAAGATGGGCATAGATTTGCTGTGCATTGTCCCACATCTGCAATCCACATGTCAAACAAAATGACAGCAAATGTCCACTTGATTTTAAAGGTGTTTCTCTGAAATAAGCCCTTTGTGTTGCTAAAGCACTTCCATTTTGTCCCTACACCTCCATTTAGGTTTTGTAGCTGGCAAGGGTTAGCAGCTCATGGTGCTTGTGCTGTTCTGTCAAGACAACCACCTCCCAATAGAGAGGAATGTAGCTTAGCCTAGCTCATGAATGGCTGTAGCTCAATAGCAAAGCATCTATTTTAAATGCAGAATGCCCAAGGTTAAATCCCCATTATCTTCAGACAGAGCTGAGAATGCTGCTGGTCTGAAACCCTGAAGAGCCACAACCAGTCAGTGCAGACTGTATTGAGCTAGATGGACAAATCATTTGAATCAATATAAGGCAACTTCCTATGTTTCTACTCTAATGCAGTTGGGGCAACATGTTATCACTTAGTATAGTGTTGGTCCACAACAGCTTACACCAGGCGTAGGCAAACTTGGCTCTCCAGATGTTTTGGGACTGCAACTCCCATCATCCCTGACCACTGGTCCTGTTAGCTAGGGATGATGGGAGTTGTAGTCCCAAAACATCCGGAGGGCCGAGTTTGCCTATGCCTGGCTTACACCATAATAATGTTTTTGTTGCCAGTCAAAATAGGCAACAGTAACAGGATGGCAAATTGTCTGACCTGCAAGAAGGCAGGTTTTTTTTTTGGTATTCTGTTTGAGAGCCTTGTCCAACTTGATGCCTTCCAGATATTTTGGACTGCAGCTCCCATCAGCTCTAGCCAAACATATCCCACAGTCAGGGGTGATGGGAGCTGAAGTTCAACACAACTAGAGGACACCGGGTTGGGGACGACTGATCCATCACAACAAAGGCTTTGGAAACAGGATCTCCAACGGGTTTGCATGAGAGAATGTGATTCCTGACATTTCTGAGATACGTTGGTCCCAGCTCATTCAGGTCTTTGTCTTCTGCTCATGACTACAGGGTGCTTCCAGACTGTTACCATTTCCAAGTGGCCTTCAATCATAGATCAACCAGTTCAGGTTGTACAATTAAATTTTGAGCTCTTGGGTAACAAACCCTCCCCTAAAAAAGAGACTTTTTTCTGGTAAGGAAAGTGTTTGGAAAATGCATTGGAAAGTGTGGGATAACTCTTGCTTGACACTAATTGTTTAACCTCTTCACACACAAATCAGGGTGAACGTTCAATAAACATTCATCAACTGTGGCACCATGGTTGCTTAAACAGTTTAGATATAGTGTTCATATCTATTGAAGTTACATCCACTTTTTGCTTGCATGCTTTTTGCTTACATGACCTTTGTTTTGTTTAAGAATTCTTCAAAATGAATCATCTCAGGATTTAAAAGGCAAGAAAGCAATGCTGCGTGTGGGCTGATACAGATGGAAAGGACGGAAACAATTTGATTTCAATTTAGATCAATAGCCGTGTAAATTATACCACTTATAGTCATCAATTTTAGCATAAGTCTGTAGACATAAAAACTAATCCCAAGGAAAAAGATATATATCAAATGATAAAAGATGTTAACTGTATAATAAAATCTATCCATGATGTCCATTTTATGGGTCTTTTTTGTAATCAGTACTTATTACTGTAGAATAATATGAATGTATTAGCATAAATATTCTGAACATGCAGTTGGAAAAGTGTATAGATTTATACTGGAAGATGGTCAAAAGTATACTGAGGGAAAGGAGACAAATATTTCACTGCTATTGCACTCAAGTATTTCTATAGTTCTGGGGTGGGTGGAATGTAGTGGTGGATTGTGAAGCCCTGTTGGTTTACACTGGCCAGAGTGGAGGCTGAGGAGGGGGTGCAGCAGGAGATTTTCTGGGCTAAATACACATATTCTGTGGACCCACTCACAAAAAAGGACACAGTCTGCATATCTTTTGTGTCACATGCAAATTTGTGTTCTATTTTCCATGTTGTGTGAAGGGCTCCAAAATAAATCATGGCTGCCCACACTTCCTTCAACCCCGCCCCCTCCCAAAAAACCAAACAAACCCATGAGGGAATTCTTGGGTTGTCTTTCCTGGGGCTTTAATTGCAGCATTGCCACACAGGAAAGTGGTAATTTGAAATACCACTTCTAAGATGATTTGAAGAATGAGAGGATGCATGAAAACAGCCCTTGGTCGCCTCAAAATTTAGGCAAGCATGACAAATTTTTTTTTCCTTACCTCACCATTATAATTTCACCAGGATGCATTTTCCCCCATATTAAATGTTGGAAAACAGTAGAAAAGAGATGGGACAGGTTGGTTTTTTTTTGTACAGTATTACCCAGAACAGTAACTAAATAACAGTCTAAAAAGTTGGATGTGTCATCTTCTCACTGATTGCTTGACAGCTTGCAATGTGTTCCCACCTATACAGTACAAGTTGGAAATATGTTCCAGAATTAATTGCTAAACTAATATTAGCCATTAAAAAGGATAATGTCCCGAAACATTTAATGCGTTAATATAATTGCAACAAAGTAGATTTTGGTTTCTTATTAGATATTGCCTTCCAACTGATGGAACCGATGGATCGTTGACTTAGTCCAAATTGCACAATGAGTTAGGAATGCCAGAAAGGAAGACCTGGGCATCCAAATGACAAAGATATTTCACTTAACGGTTCAGTTTCAGGACAAAGAGGCCTTTCCTTTTCCACATAGAAAAATAATGAATGAAAGCAATGACTGCTCTAAGATAATTTTTGTATCAGCTGTGCCAATACTCAAAAGACTCAAGCACATTTTTGACATTTGCCTGAACATGCAAGGGTTAAAAGTATGGGGAGTGCATGTTGGGGGTGCACACAAGCCCTGTTCTCAATGTGACCATGTTTGGGAATACTTCTCAGACCTTCATGAATTAGCTGTGAAGGGGATTTCTATACATTTTCAACTGGAGGAGCTTTGAAGTCTCCATGTGATTGAGAATCCTGATAAGGATTCCTGATTCTGCAGAGGCTTCTCAGTGTGTTCAGCTGAACATGCGTAGAAACACCCTTCAGACCTTCGCAGACTCAATTCATGACAGTCTGCATGAATGGAAACTTTGAGAGTGCGGATTGTTTATATGTGCCCCCAACTCTTTTAACTCCTGTACGTTCAGATGAATGACTGAAGATGTGAGTGGCTGCTTCTTTCCGCTGCTGCCCAGAATGGTGACTGTTGTATAGGCAGCTAGAAAACATTGTTGATGAAGTTGCTGCTGGGAGACCAGTCAAATGATGACTTATGGTAAAATGGATATGATTTCAGAGCTCAGCCAGTTGGAAGTGTCCATCCTCAAGAGGTGTTGCTAGAGAGGGGGTGTAGCTCAGGGACATTTCTAAGAGCCAATCAGAGATGGCTGAATTTTTTAATCTGTTTATATTGTTTATACTGTGACATAATTAGTTGTACCCTGAAAGCTTTCAATAAATAAAGGGGTGAGTAAATGGGGTAGTTTGACCCTGAATTCCAAGAAACCAACTTCCTAAAACATTCCTGCTTACTAGTGCACCACATGAACTAAAATGCTTCTTAGATTGTGCTTCCTAGAATATAAAGACACAGGGCTCCCCTTGGAAGCTCCTTAGAGGTTCTTCAGGGAATAATTATATATATAAAAGATTCTCTCAGAAAAGAAAGTTCTCTTAGTATCTCAAGTACCCTCTTTGCCTCATCATATGCGGGAGAAAGTAGCATAGAGACAGGATAAAGGATATGAAGTAACCACTTGAGAAGGCAAGCTTTCTTTCTTAAAATATTGAATTTTGTCTGTGTAGTAATCATAGTTTTTAGCAAGTTGGTTTTAAATGAGGCAGAGAATGCTGCTTTAAATATTCATCCTAATGCTTGATTTCTATCTAAATCTAATTTTGGAGGATAGCTGCTTTATACAACTAGAAAATTTATGGAAATCCTTTATATAAATCAGATGATTTAGATTTTAATCCCATTACAATCAGCAGGAGTTTTTAAATCCCTAGCTGTTGTTTCTGGCTTAGTCCCTGAACCCCCAGCTAATTATCCTAAAATATAATATAAAGGTTAGAAAGTCTGAGAAAACATGTATAGGATTTTTTAAAAGTGTAATTTAGGCATATTTAAAATCAAATCATCCCTGTGGTGTTCGAAATTCATACATTTAAGTACTTCATTCTTGATCCAAAATATATTGGAGATTTGCCTTGAGGGTACTTAATGCTCCTTTGTACATAATGTCTAGATTTTCCTTCTCATCTTCTCAAAGCTTAGAGGCCTTCTTATCTTCTCTGCTTTCATCTTTTCAGACCTTGTTCACATTATGCTGTGGAACATGTTATCCCCTAGTAAACTAATGAAAGAGTATTTTAGTTTGCAACACTTTTTATGAACATGGAGAACTTCTCCCTTGCGATTCCACATTCCTCTTCTATCACAGACTATTAGTGAATGTTTTGGTATGGAATATATTAAAACTGGAAAGAAATACAACAGAGAACAAAAGTGTAGTACTGATTTTGTTATTCATCTTCGTAGTGCTGATGTAACAGAGTCAAAATCTATCTATGCTAATTTCTTGGTTACTTTTCCCCACAGATTTCAGCACTCCAGATTTAGGATCCCTTCTTCAGAGATTTTAAAGTGCTTGTTGACCTTTTGATGGGGAAACAGCCTTTCGTCCTAGTTGAGGTCATGATACATTTTTAAAAAATATTTCTATCCTGCCCTTCCAGTACATCCATATTGTTCAGGATGGCTTACAAGAACAATTAAAATACGAGCCCGTAATAAAATAGAAAATGAACAGTTAGTGTCATATCTTCTATGATGTAATGTTTTTGTGTCAGGACCACTTTTGGAACCCCCCCCAAATAGCTCCTGGATAGGACTTATAGCCACATTCTCTGAGCTTCCTTTTGGCTCAACTATTTTCACCACTATCTCGTCTTTTAGATACATGGCTGTTTTGAAAAACAGAACAGCTGCTAGAAATTCATCTAATTCTCTTCTCTCTGAGCAACTCTGAACCAAATTAAATTGGAAACAACAGAGAAATATTGTACTCCATTCTGAAGTTCCATAGCTCCTCTTGGGACTCATTCACACAAAACATGTTTTCTGTAAAGGGACAATTTAATTTTGCAATGATTCCCCTGACAGAATTCTTATAAAATGGACTGTAGTAAGAGTATATAGCTAGGAAGCTGTGCACCATTAATTCTGGGAAGGAAAGTAAAATATATGTTCTAGGGAATTTTACTATGTAATTTTCATAGTAATTCTCATAGTAATTTCATAGTAATTTTCACGAGATTTTCTCATGTTGTATGGGAGCCCTGTCTTGAGAATTATCATAGGAGTGATTTTTTTAAGGGTGGCAGAGTGTTTGCTTTTGAGAAAAATAAATGTTTTTATGTATAACCCTGTGCATTTGTCATCAAAATCCACTTACAGTATTTATTTGAAATAAGCTCAAATTACAAGAATAACTGCTGTATTGTAAAGAGTTGATCGAAAGCAAGCCAATGGGGCACATCAAAGGAGGCATATACCATATCTTCAATGGGCCCTGTCTCATTAAGGGCTTAAGGAAGGCATGAATTTATGCCTGGTGTACTATAAATAAGGCTTTGTTTCATGGATGTTGCTTCATTCCATGTAACAGATGACTTTCTGCAACATGTAAAGTATTTCAGTAGGCCGCCTCTCCTGGGATAGCTGCTTTAGCACAGTCTCTTACCCTAGGGCTTCTGATTCCCTCTATTCCACACTTGTTATCAAGAGTAAATCTAGGGCTGCCATACGTCCAGATTGTCCTGAACATTACCATTACAAAGGCGGCACATTGTCCTGGTTCTTAGGCAAGTCAATCGAAAAATCTCAACAATCTTGGGGGGGGGGTTCCTAAAAAAAGCAACCCTAAATCCTAAATCCTCAGATTCCCCCAGAGTCACCTCAGGGGTGTTGGGGAGACCATCAATAAAAGGGCATAAGGATGCCCTGCTTCCCGGCTGTTGGCATGGGCAGGCTTAAGTCTGGCAACCCTGTGGCTTCCTGTGAAGGATAGTGGCTGGGTCAACCCAAGATGGTGGAATTCCCTCTCTGGCCGTACCCACTGGGGCTTAGGGAGGTAGCTTGCAGGTGGCGTGGGAGTGAGGGCTGAGCTCCCTCCCATCTCAGGGGGCTGGCTAGTTCAGTCTTTTCCCTTCCTCACCTTGGGGCTTCTCCATCCAGCTTGTTCACTGTCTTTGAGACATAGCTGTCAACTGTCCCTTATTTGGCAGGACAGTCCCTTATCCCAGGGCCATGTCCCGCTGCTGTCCCTTATTGATGAGGCTTCATTTGGCTGCTGGCTGGGCTTTCTGCCTTTGGCTCAGAGGGGCTCAGAGGTTGACCATACCTGTGCCCGGAAAATCCCTTATTTTGGCTGCTGATCCCTTATTTTCGAGGCTTCTGGTCCCTTATTTTCAAATCTGTAAGTTGACAGCTATGCTTTGAGAGTTTCTATATCTTCCCTGTCTCCCCACTCTTTGATCTGCCCGAGGCAATGCATCTAGGTCCCTTCATCTCCCATGGGTGGAGTCCCCTCAGGTGGTGAAGATTGGGGCCTATTTAAAGGGGCAAGTTCTGGCAAAGAATCAGTAAACCCTGGCAGCCCAGCACACTAAACCAAAGCTGGTCAATGTGGTACCCTCCAGGTGTGGACTACCATGTCTAGAAGGGAGCAGGTTGTGGAAGATTGCTCTCAACAATGTGGATCAAGGTTTTCCCAGGGAATGCCATCTATATTAAGCTCCAGCCTGAGCTTTGAGAGCAACCAGCGAAGTCCTGATCGTACTTGGCAGTGACTGAAAATAATTGTTTCACCCCACTCATGTTTAGGTTTTCACTTTTGATTTTAGGCATCTGAAACAGGGGGTTTCCTGCTGACTACACTTTGATTGATCGCCTAAGATGTTTGTTTAGCACTGGTTATGTCAGCTGTATTTGGCAGATCTGACTGTCATGGTCTCAGTTCATGCAGGGACTCATTCTGCGGGTGAAGGTTGTTTTTTATTTCTGTTGCATGTGGAAGCTGAAACGCAGCATTGAACTTTGCCAGTGGTGATGCTTCAAGATACAAGGATCGGATATTTGTGAGACAATGCCCAATACAGTATATATATGATGAATTTGTAATCTTATGAGTACCATTTTTAAGTGATGCTGTTGTCTACTTTTTTATTCGGTGTAAGCATTTTGCTGGTTGTATACATATATTCGAAGGTCAAAAAGTGATATAATAGATATGTTTGGATGCTGTACACTTAGGCAATAGACATGACAATAATAACTTTTCAAGGACCTGGCACTGAAAAAATCAAATGAACACATTGTTGGTGCTAACTTGATTTGCCATTCCAGATAAATACATCCACATACTGAATTTCTGGCCCTGGGCAAGGAGACACTAAGTTTTTTATTTGAACAATGTTACTGATGCATTTTGAACAAAACAGAATAATGTAAAGGTATGGAAGTACATTTACAGAAAGAACAGTGACTTTAGGGAAGCTTTTAATATCTGAAGGACTAATGTATTTTAATATTTTGTTGGAAGCTGCCCAGAGTGGCTGGGGTAACCCAGCCAGATGGGTGGGGTATAAATAATAAATTATTATTATTATTGTTATTGTTATTTATTATATATCATTGCAGATGTCTTACATTAAGAATTGCTTCTGAATTTTATTTGATGTCAGTCACAGATCTTAACCTGAGAAACCCCTAACAGTGATATTGACATAGACAATCCTTTGTAATAATGGGTTTCAAGAGTCTCAAACTGCTGGCCCTTCTGGAAGATGCCCTTACAGCTTTTGTCGTCATTGAACATTTTGCCTGGTTTCTAATTCTGGAGACAGGTATGATTTAGCTCTATACACACACCAGCATCACATGGCTAAATCCAAATGTTTAGCATATTCCCAGGGCTCAGTAGAGACCACGTTCTTTCATGAGTTTCTATAAACAAATGGGTTTAATGAATGCATACGTATATTTTCTTCCCTTCCGATTAGATGACTCATGAGCCTCGAAAAATTACTTATTAACATTTATGGCAACTTCCTTCTCTGACTAAAGGCTTTTACATTAAGAAGTCATTAACTTTAATTTCCTTTTCCATAATTAAAAGTTTATAATACCGCATCACCTAACAAGTAAAAAAGCCATGTGTCATATTAATATTGCATGATAACGATTCATTACATGATAATGATTCAAAGCATGAACACTGGAAGTCAGGGTCTCTGGAAAAAATGACTCAGTTTAATTCCTAAGCTTGCTCATTTCTTGCTGTTTCTCTGTAATTCTTGCCTGCATTTAGTACTACCTTTCTGTTGTATCCCCATGTCTGTGCCTTTTGCCTTAATTATAAAATTTGCAGGGGGGTGTCTAATAAAATTAATCCTAAATTTCATATTTTAGTAATATAGCCCACATCAAAGGAAAATATGAAACTTCTGACTCAAGTCAATCACTCTAGTTACAATTAAATAAGAAGAAATGAGAGGCTAGGATTTGCTTTAATCATAGCCTGAATCTCTGAAAGATTGAATAATAATATACCTGAATTCTCAGTAATCGTTGATGAGAGTGGGAAAAGATCTTTATCTGCAAATTGGTCATGCATTTGGACAGGAACTGCATTTCTAAGCTTGCTTGCATCCATTTCTATGGTATTTTCTAAATCTGGAACAGCTTGAGGGAGACCATGGGGTGGTATTCAGCTGAGTTGTACTCAGAGTAGGCCTACCAAAATTAATGGACCCAAAATGATTATTTTCAGTGAACCTACCGGTACTTTGAGCAAAACCCAGCTGACTACCATTCCCATAAAGGAAGGACATGTTGCCAATTCTGAATCATCATGCCAATGCATCTTAGATCAGTGGGATGGCCTCTTTAAGAAGATAGATCTATTTACAGGAGGCCCATAAGAGCTTCCCAGCATACATGCAGAGAGTATGGTACATATCTAACCTTTGTCAGATTGTATTATATCCATTGTTTCATTATCCTCCCATTCCCATCATTGCTGATCAACTGAAATGTTTAATTACATCTTAATATGGTTATAAAATAGTTTCACCAGAAGCTTTTTATGATCAAAGGCCTGAAAAGAAACTCTTGAAGAAATAAAGCTGTAAGTAGCATCCAATTTTCCTATTACTATCAGGAGCGCTGCATTTCATATAACGAAATGCAATAATAAATTATAAAACATTGACTATTAAATTTCCTTTTCACATTCTGCATGCTTTGATATAAGGTTTTGATGTTATTTTTGTGGTGAAATATGACATTATTTGCTTGGCAAAATACACATGACTTTTCATGCTCAGCTACGTTGGAAGAAGACCAATATTTCATTTAAAGGCTATGAACTAGTTTGTGTGCATTGTAAATGGGATTTATCTCTGCCCTTCTATTTATCATGTAGAAATGGAGCATCAGTATTCAGGACTTGCCATTTCCCCTTTATTGGTTACAGAGAAACACAATGGCATTTCACTGACTTATATCCAAATGTTATATGTGAATGGAAGGCTGCTCATGCAACATGCCTTTCTCTCTCTCAGCTTGAGCCCTTCTTTTCTACTATACCTGCTGAAAAGTCTCTCTTGAGAATGGAAATGGGGGTTGCACTGGAAGTGTGTGTGGAATTGCTGAAAATAGGGCAGAAGTAGCTTGCAAAATTTCAAAAGTCAGCCAATTTTGAAAATTTGAAATTCAACATTTGTCAAAATTTGACCATCAACATTTGATGTTGTGATTCGAATTGCAGAACTGAATTTTGATACTTAAATTAAACATTCACGATTATGGTTGAACAAAATTCCATGTCAAGTTTTATCCATCACAACACGTCAGATACTGTGAAACGCTGGCTACCAACTGTCAACTGCTGATTGCTACATGTCATATGCTGCCCAATACAATACCCCAAATACTGATCGCTATTGTCAGATATCACAAAACGTAGATGCAGATGCAGTTTGCAGTCAAATAACACAAATGCCCCATTCCATTTAGGAGTGCCGCAGACATGCAACAATCAGTGATGCACATACTCCCAGCTGCTTAAAAATCATTTACCCAAGCAGGTTAAATGTGGAATTTTGTGGGATTTCCCTTTTTTGGTTGGCAATACTTATGTGGAGCCCTTTCAAACAAGTTGAAATTACATTGACCATAGACAGAAGAGGGAGAGGAGGTTGAATTTAATCCTATCTCTCTTATGCTGAATAATGCACTGGTCAGATTTTAGCTATTCTGATATACAGAGGCTTTGCAAATTCTCGTCTGATTCTGTCAACTGAAGTGTTCATAGCTTAGCAAATTTGCACTCACAGAGAATATTCAGAGAACAACCACACAAAAGACTTTTTTTTTGGGGGGGGGGTGGAATTCATTTCATTCTATTATCTATTTTATATTTGAAATATTTGCTTCTGCACTGAGTGCTAGGGGGAAAGATTTTACAGCTCCTGCATCACAGATGTTGAATGAAGGATACCTGGAAACTTTAAAATATTTTGATAATCCTATTGAGTGGCACTTGGTTAAATCCCTGCTGATAAGATATGAAGAAATCAGATATAATTTAATCCAGGATTATCTTTATACAAATGGTTTTTAATCACACAAACCTGTTTGTGTCTCAGTCCCAAAGGAAAACATGAGGCAAAACTGAAATCCAAGAAAATTGTTTAAAGCAAACAGCAACTGCACTAGCAGAGATATGCAACTGGGAACATATTATTATTTTCTTTCAGGAAAAAAAACCAACCAACCATGGTGTAGCAAAGAGGAATTGTTTGCCAGCTAGTCATGGGAAGGAAGAAATATCCACAGGACTGTCTCAAAACACACCCTTTTGTAGGCAGGCATGGTTTTTTTTTTTAATAAAACACAAATGCAAATGAAGCTGATCCTTTCCTGATTGCCCCTAGTTTGCATCTGAAAGAGATGTGGCTATAAACCACACATGTGAAAATAATGATGGGGAGGGAAAGCCTTTCACACTTCTGTAGGAGTTTAAGCTTGGAAAACCTATGCACTAACATGAAAAAGTAAAAAACAGCTGCAATACCGCCCCCTTTCCATTTTTGCAATCATGCTAAAATGAAAGACACCACTAGGGGCGCGCCCCTGGATATGTTGATTGTGCAGCTATTTCGCAATAGAGACCGGAAATGAGCCATCGAACGCAATCACCCGGCGGTTGCGGTTAACAGCTTAGGCGGCTTCAGAGGCGGGCACCCCACAGAATTTGGCACCCGGGGGTAATGCACCCCTAGCACCCCCAGGTAAAGACGGCCATGTCACAAGGGCAGGGGCTACTTGGGGAAGGAGGAATAATTGAAAATGATCTTCCCACTTCCTCCACTGGTGTTTGGCATGAGGGCAACACTATTCATCGCAAGTCTTCTGGAGCCATCCCAATGTTTGCTCATACACTTCCCAACCCTGACAACCATTGTCTAAACAGAGAGTGAATCTACACCAGAGCATTCTTCTTCTTCTTCTTCTTCCTATACTGCCCTTCATTCGAAGAGCACAGTGCGGTTTACAATATAAAAGCACAAAAATTCATACTAGAGTAGCACTAACCTCCCCATGAGCGTGGTTAATTAGAAAAGATTTATTGCAAAAAACCAACAGAGTGCATGGAGCAGTGAACGCTGCCGTCCATCCATCAGTGAAGATGTTCCTACTGAGGAGGCTTCTTCCAGCGAAACCAAAAGCAGCCCAGCCTCCACTTGTGATGTGATCTGTCCTGAAGGCCGCCTATTTGACGAGAGTGGGGGCTAAGGGGGTCAGCCCCCTCCCCTTCCTCATTCCCAGACATGGAGCTTCCATCTTCGTTCCCCCTCTCTGAGCTGCAGCTGCTATGCATCTCTGTAATTTGAACTCCACTGGTCGGTTGGCAAACGGCTGTCTGTCTGCCATCAGGGCTGTTTCCAGTCTACATTCCTGAGGGTTGGGGACAGGACTCCTGATTGTACTCATCTAGTCCTGCATTTAACCCCCTCTCTTCCTGTCTGCCTTCTCCCTCTGCCTGTACTTCTTCCCTGGGAGCCGGTGTATTCATGACATTATTCCTTTTTACTTTACTGTTTAGACCATTTACATTCCAACTCAGTACCTAGAGGTCTGCCATTATGTTTGCTTGTGTCTTTCCCCCTAAAGTCTTGTCTAAAGTTTTGTGTTGTCTTGGTTATCTAAATTATCTACACCCCCCATTGCTCCTTCCCCTGCCCCTCCTACTGCTCCCATTGGGTCCTGTGGAGTGTATGGGTTGTCAAAATCTCTGCCATGTCTTAGCCAGAATTCCTGTGCCTGCTCTTCATTTACCAATCTATATATTTTTTTCTTGTATGTAAAGGAAATTCCTTCTGGGAATTCCTGTCCAAATTTAATATTGACTCTAATCAAGACGTTTTGAAGCAAACGGGGAGGTATCTCTCTAAACATAGCTACAGGGTTTCCGTCCACCTCAAGTCTGTTTTCATAATTGTTCTGGACTATAGCATCCTTCAATTTCTTAGAGTTAAAAGTTACCAAACAGTCTCCAGACTGTTTCTTAGCCTTTATACTGGACCCTGTAGCAACTGTCCATAGATCCTTCCACATACTCCTGTTCCTCTCCCAACCAATCCGCAATTGTCTTGGCTATGTATTTTTAAAGAACCTGTTCCCCCTCTGCCTCTGGAAGGCCTCTTATTTGCAGAACATTAGATTTTTATCTAATCTCTAAGACCGCAAGACAATCCTCAAATTTATCCTGTCTGCCAGCTAAACCTCTCATATCCCCCTTATTATCTCTTGTTACCCTCTAATTTCTTTGTTCTCTTTTTCAGTTTTCCCAAGTTTTACGCAGAAATGTCCAAAGCTTCTAATTTGCTAGACATTTCTGTGACCATCTTTGTGTTCTTCCCCAATTCCGTTACAACCTTTTCATTCTGCTTTTGCATTTGTGTCAGCATCTCATTTTTAAAATCTGACAGAATATACCCTATATTTGACTTTCTTCAGATTGTTTTACTGATGTTTTAATATTCTGTAAACCGCTTTGAGATTTTTCTTAAAAATATAAAGCCGTATAGAAATTAAATACATACATACCTGGGATGCTAGGATAGGAAGCACCCACATGATCCAGCCGGTGGTGCATCAGGGGAGCATCGTTAGAGCAGCAGGCACTGTACAAAGGTTGCTTGACTTGGTCCTATGATGCCTTGACAGAGTTCAGAACCAAGCTTATTCACTGAAATCACTACCCAAAAATCCTCCCATGCTAATACTTTGGGAAGTTAGGGATATAGGGAAGAATAGAGGGGCATGATGGTTGCATTGGAAGTTAGCAAGGACACCACAGGGATTTGAACCCCATCCTGGGAACCAGGAGTGCCGACCACCAGTGTCTTTTGCTTTTTTTTTTTTAAGCAATGCAACAAGGTGAAAAGCAAAACCTGAGGGAACATTCTGCGAATGTTCTCTCAGGAAAAAAAAACACCTTTTGATGTTAAGATGAGCTCTTTGGAGAGACCTGTGAAGAGACCAGCAGAAAAGAAAATGAGAAAAAGGAGAGGAAAATACAAAAAAAATTGTCTTGAAAACAGACCAGTGAGTGGTGGAATGTGAACTTACCTAAAGCAGCACAGTTGAAATGCAGGTGACTCTCACCTCAGGTACAGTGAACTCTGGGAAACCTAGAATCATAGAATCATAGAGTTGGAAGAGACCACAAGGGCCATCGAGTCCAACCCCCTGCCAAGCAGGAAACACCATCAGAGCACTCCTGACATATGGTTGTCAAGCCTCTGCTTAAAGACCTCCAAAGAAGGAGACTCCACCACACTCCTTGGCAGCAAATTCCACTGTCGAACAGCTCTTACTGTCAGGAAGTTCTTCCTAATGTTTAGGTGGAATCTTCTTTCTTGTAGTTTGGATCCATTGCTCCGTGTCCGCTTCTCTGGAGCAGCAGAAAACAACCTTTCTCCCTCCTCTATGTGACATCCTTTTATATATTTGAACATGGCTATCATATCACCCCTTAACCTCCTCTTCTCCAGGCTAAACATGCCCAGCTCCCTTAGCCGTTCCTCATAAGGCATCGTTTCCAGGCCTTTGACCATTTTGGTTGCCCTCCTCTGGACACGTTCCAGTTTGTCAGTGTCCTTCTTGAACTGTGGTGCCCAGAACTGGACACAGTACTCCAGGTGAGGTCTGACCAGAGCAGAATACAGTGGCACTATTACTTCCCTTGATCTAGATGCTATACTCTATTGATGCAGCCCAGAATTGCATTGGCTTTTTTAGCTGCCGCGTCACACTGTTGGCTCATGTCAAGTTTGTGGTCAACCAAGACTCCTAGATCCTTTTCACATGTACTGCTCTCAAGCCAGGTGTCCCCCATCTTGTATTTGTGCCTCTCATTTTTTTGCCCAAGTGCAATACTTTACATTTCTCCCTGTTAAAATTCATCTTGTTTGTTTTGGCCCAGTTCTCTAATCTGTCAAGGTCGTTTTGAAGTGTGATCCTGTCCTCTGGGGTGTTAGCCACCCCTCCCAGTTTGGTGTCATCTGCAAATTTGATCAGGATGCCCTTGAGTCCATCATCCAAGTCGTTGATAAAGATGTTGAATAAGACCGGGCCCAAGACAGAACCCTGTGGCACCCCACTAGTCACTCTTCTCCAGGATGAAGAGGAACCATTGATGAGCACCCTTTGGGTTCTGGTCAGTCAGCCAGTGGTAGCATAGTCAAGACCGCATTTTACCAGCTTCTTTACAAGAATATCATGGGGCACCTTGTCAAATGCCTTGCTGAAATCAAGGTAGGCTACATCCACTGCATTCCCTTCATCTACCAGGCTTGTAATTCTGTCAAAAACAAGATCAGGTTAGTCTGACATGACTTATTTTTCAGAAATCCATGCTGACTATTGGTGATCACAGCATTCCTTTCTAGGTGCTCACAGACTGTTTGCTTAATGATCTGCTCCAGAATCTTCCCTGGTATTGATGTCAGACTGACTGGGCGGTAATTATTTGGGTCCTCTCTTTTCCCCTTTTTGAAAATAGGGACAACATTTGCCCTCCTCCAGTCTGCCGGGACTTCGCCTGTTCTCCAGGAATTCTCAAAGATGACTGCCAGTGGTTCTGAGATCACATCTGCCAGTTGTTTTAATACTCTTGGATGCAGTTCATCTGGCCCTGGAGACTTGAATACATCTAAACTAGCCAAGTATTCTTGTACTATCTCCTTAGTTATTCTGGGCTGTGTTTCCTTTGCTGAATCATTTGCTCCAAATTCTTCAGGTCGGGCATTGTTTTCTTTATCGGAGAAGACTGAGGCAAAGAAGGCATTGAGGAGTTCAGCCCTTTCTGTGTCCCCTGTTTGCATTTCACCATCTTCTCCTCTGAGTGACCCCACTGTTTCTTTGTTCTTCCTTTTGCTACGAACATACCCATAAAAGCCTTTTTTGTTGCTTTTAACCTCTCTAGCAAGCATGAGTTCATTCTGTGCTTTAGCTTTTCTGACTTTGTGTCTACACGTGCTGACTATTTGTTTGAATTCCTCTTTGGTGGTTTCCCCCCTTTTCCATTTTTGTACACATCCTTTTTAATCTTAACTCAGTTAAAAGTTCTTTAGATAGCCACCCTGGCTTCTTTAGGCACCTTCCATGTTTCCGTCTCATTGGTATTGCCTGACGTTGTGCTTTTAGTATCTCCCTCTTAACCAACTCCCAGCCATCATGAACTCCCTTTCCTTTTAGCATTACTGTCCATGGGATCTCACCCAGCACTTCCCTAAGTTTTATGAAGTCGGCTTTCTTAAAGTCAAGAAAACCTGAAGCTAAACAAGGCATAGTCACCTAAATGTTCTTCAGTCATGGAATACCATTCTCCTACCTGCAGGTGAGCCTCATTGTGGTGGCACAGAGTAGGGCCTCTTCTGACAACTCAGTCATGCAACCTGAAAGAGTCTTAGCACAGTGAATTGCAGATGGAACAGAATAGAGATTTTCTCCCTAGCCAAACAAGGCATACTCACCTAAATGTCCTTCAGTCATGGAATACCATTTTGACTGCCATTCTTGTTTGAAGCTGGATGAGCCATTGATCTACAGGGGCACAACAGAGAGATGAGATTCAGACGTAAACCTCTGTGTGGAAAGAAGGAAGATTGTTCACCCTTTTGTTTGTCCATCTGAGGGTGTGTCTTGTGGTTCCCCCTTTTTTGGTCTGCGATCTAGTGTCACTAGTTTGTCCCCAGCCACCTTCCAACAATTCTACAGAAAATGAGTTTTTTAAAAAAACAACAACAACAAAACAGCTTTTCTTACCACCATGATTTCTGGAACTCTGATTCAATTGATGTTTGGGAGCTCCTTGGGGAGACCTGTGAAGAGACCAGCAGAAAAGAAAATGAGAAAAAGGAGAGACCAATACGAAAAACATTGTCTTGAACAAAGACCACTGAGTGGCGGAATGCAACTTACCTAAAGCAGCATAGTTGAAATGCAGGTGACTCTCACCTCAGGTACAGTGAACTCTGGGAAACCTGAAGAAAAGAGGAGCTGGAACAAAAGAAGAAGTGTTCTCCTACCTGCAAGTGAGCCTCATTGTGGTGACACAGAATAGGGCCTCTTCTGACAACTGAGTCACCGCAACCTGAAAGAGTTTAAGCACAAAGAGTTGCAGAAGGAACACAACATAAATTTTCTTCCCAGCCAAGCAAGGGATACTCACTAAGATGTCCTTCAAGCATAATGTATACAACTATATTGCTGCTATCATTGTGATGTAGCATTTAGGGTTTACTTGTGAGGTATCTGAGCCTGTCATCGCTTCTGAAAATACAAGAATAACCCTGTGAGGTAGGTTAGGCTGAGAGATAGAGAGTTTCATGGCAGAGTGAGGATTTGAACTCTAGTCTCCCAGTTCCTAATCCATCACTCTTGCCATTCCACTCTTTCAGGAACTTCCCTCAGAGAAAGCACTTTCCCACAGGATCCTGGACTTGCCATGTCCCTGAGCAGTCACTCTCCAGCCGCCATCAGCAGGTTCATCCTCAAAATGCTTTATTTGCTTTTTCAGCAAGTTTTTATCTTACCTGTCTTTCTCTCCTTCCAAGGCAACCTGAGCCAACATGAAAGTAGAAGGAGCGGTTTTGTCCTCTCCCTTCTTCTTTGCTTCCTGCCCTCTCCACTTGCATATTTCTAGCTTCAGCAACAACCCCCCCAACTTTCTCTTCATGAAATGACTTCTCTAGTTGCCTGTTTAAAGAAATGCCTTCTATTTTCCCTACTCATTTTCTCTCTGCTTTAAGCAGGCTTCTTTTCATCCGAAGACTAATTAGTTTGAAAGGTAAATAAAACTTGTTTCCCCCCCCGCTTCACATTCCTTCATTTAGCTTCATTTTCTCTTGGCTTTTCCAGTTAAGTCCCCCCCCCCCCGATTCTCTTTAACATCTCCATCTTGGTATTTTTCTGAGTTTTCAAGTTTAAATTTTGCTTGGCTAAACTCTTTTTGGGGGGACTTTCTCAAGGTCCACCATCTGTCTACAATTTACTGTCCCTGTGTAATTAGGATTAAGTCTTATTTGATCTTCTATTTTCCTTCGGTTTCCTTTTAATTTAAAATTTAATGCCTCTCCTAACACTTTTTAGGGACAAATACCTGATTAAGATATATGTGTGTAGTATTTGAAATCAACCACAGCAGAGATCACAGGTGAAAATCACCTGTGTCCCTTTTTAAAGTTGTAAATGATGAATTTCAGCAGAGTGAAATCTCTTCATTTACTCTAAAAAAAATTAAAAATCCCAATAGTTTTGAAAAACAGTCTAACCTAAGTTGGTTTGTTGCCTTTTCAAACCTATTTCATCTTCCCCAGCCTCCCTCTCCTAATCCCTCTGCCCATTAGCTCCTTCAGCTCTGACTAGTGAGAGGGTTAAAACCAGTACAATAGCCAGGGACAGGCTCACTCACTGGAATGCGGCTCGCTCCTTCCACCACCTGTTGGTCATAAGAACACATAAAATAGTCCCTTGCAGCATTAATACAGTGGGTGTAAATGTCTTTTTTTTCTTTTTAAAATAATTTTTATTATTTATTATTTTGAGGTTTTATGTTCATCACAATAACATTGTCTCAAACAGAAAAAGAAATACAGTTCCCTGCCCGCCCCCCGCCCTGCAACTTCCCTCAACTTCCTCTTCTGGTTTGTTACGCAATAACATCTCCTGCTTATTTTCATACCTTACATTCTTCCAATTGAGTATCTTATATTCTTATCATTTTTCTTTTTCCCCGTACTTATTTTTAAATTACTTCTAATATTTTCCTATTTTCCAATTATTACATCTTACTCTCTATCTTTGTTTTGTTGATTGTGTTTACTCAAACCCTGCTAGTGAATCCACTTCTTTATAATGTTTCTGTAGATACAACATAAATGGCTCCCAATCTTTTAAAAAGTCTCTATTGTCCTTATCTCTCAGTTTTCCAGTTAGCTTCTCCATTTCAGCATCCTCCATCAGTTTTTCTTGCCATTCTTCTTTAGTTGGTATCTTATTGTCTTTCCATTTTTTGGGCTAGTAATATCCTAGCCGCTGTTGTGGCATACATGAATTATAATTTCTTCTGATATTTTGGCAAGTCTTGACCTGTAATGCCTAGCAGGAAAGCTTCTGGTCTCTTAACAAACGTTATCGTAAACATTCTTTTCATTTCATTATAAATCATTTCCCAGAATTTTTTGATTATTTTACAATTCCACCACATATGAAAAAACATACCTTCTTTTTCTTTACATTTCCAACACTTGTTGGAGCTTGTTTGATACATTTTGCCATCTTTGCCTGTGTGATATACCATTTATATACACACACATACACACAAATGATACTGTCAGCTTCCAGTAAAAACAAAACAAAGCCTTCTTTTGCAAAAATTAGTAGGTCTTATCACTCTTGTTCCAAACATTACTTTTTTTAAAAAAAAGATATTTGTGCACAAAAGTCATTTGTGCTGAGAACTGTGCCCATAAAGGGTGATCTGAATTCCAGAATATGGATAGGAACTTGATAAATCTCCACTTCTCACCACAATATTTTCTTTGCCCTTTTGGCTGCATGCCAGGGGAGTTTTGATGCCATAGCTTCTGCCTCATAGTTGCATATTGTAAACTGTCTTCCACTGTTGCCTCACAGTTTTCCATTAACTGTGTGAGAGAATGTTGCATTGTGCTAGCTCTGGGCTTTGATCTCAGTTCTATCCCACTAATGCAGTGCAGCAGGCCGATACCTTTGTGACTAGACAACCTTTCTTGTGCTAAGTAGAAGCTCAGCCCACTGAAGGCAGATTCATTCATTCCTGATGGTGTGACATTGCTGTGCAGTGTAATGTAATAGCCTTTTACTATGACTGAATCTGGTTCCAAGTTAATGAAGTTCTAGGAATTCATAAAGATTCAGAATTCACATCCTGTTTGCTCCAGCAGATTTATTCAAGTCAATGAGAGCCACTGTAGTTAGAGTGCTGGTCTAAGACTTGGGAGACCTGGGTTCAAATCCCTATTCAGGGATTTGAAGCTCACTGGGTGACTTTGGGCCAGTCACTGCCTCTCAACCTAACCCACCTCACAGAGTTGTGGTGGGGATAGAATAGGGAGAAGTTATGTATGCCACCTTGAGCTCCTTGGAGTAAAGGTGGGATATAAATGTAATGAAAAAATAAAAAATAAAATAAAATAAAATTGGTTCTCTGGAGTAAATGAGTAATTGATCATTATGCAGATGTACAAAGTAGAATAAACAGTATGGCAGGCTGCTTTTTATTGCAAACAATGATAAATGACTATAGCGCACATGTGTCCTAGCAGGAGGGCAAGTGAAACCATAGAATCATAGACTTGTTGGAAGGAACCTCAAAGGGCATCTAGTCCAACTCCCTGAAAGGCAGGAATATCAATGAAAGCTTTCCTTTGATGGTGGTTTTGAGATGATCCCCTGCAGAAAAGGCCCATTCCTGTGTTGCCACCCTCCTGTGGAGAAGGCACATGCACAAGGGCCTCAGATGACGCTTGCAGGATCCAGGTCAGTTCATATGAGGAAAGGTGTTCACATCCCTGTCACATGGCAGGACAGTCTTAAACAAAGATGTGCTCTCCTAAGCCCACCTTCCCAGCACTGTTGTCTCAGCAATGTCTAAGATAGCTTGTTCATGTCCACAGAATGGAAGGTGGCAGGATCCCCAGTGATGTTGTCTATGGGGAGCTGGCTTCATGTACCAGATCTGTTAGCAGACCAACTCTGCACTACAAATATGTCTGCAAATGTGACATGAAGGCTGGCAAAATCAACCCCACCATGTGGGAATCCCTTGCAGATGACTGCAGCATCAGTCAGACAATCAGTCAGGCTGTGTGTTATGTATTGGGTTTAACACAATTTATGTTACAAGGCGCATTCTAACCAATCGTATAAGCGTTGGTAGTCGAACATTCTAATGGCAAGTAAGTGCATGCACTTTCAACTGTCAACTGTCAACGGTCAGTTCATGCTCGGCCTAATTACTGTGTTGTCCAGTCAGTTTGATTCTTGTTTTCATATGAGTGAGCTATTGTCACTGACAAATGTAGAATAAATGTAGTTGAGGAACTTATACTGCCTTGGGCTTCTGACTTTTTCTGAACATTTAACATTAAAGTGCGTACGTTTACTTGCCATTAGAACGTTTGACTACCAACACTTATACGATTGGTTAGAATGTGCCTAGTAGCATAAATTGTGTTAAACCCAATACATAACACTGTGTATCTGCAGCAGTGACCAGAGGAGGAATGAACACTGGGAGGAGCGCAGATAGAAAAAAATGCCATGGTGCATCTGCAGCAGCGCAACAGATGCTTTCATCTGCTCAGCTGCAACAAAACATGTCTCTCCTGTATCGGTCTCTACAGCCACAGCAGGTGCTGTAACCTTCCAATAGTTTGACTCCAACCGCAAAGGCACATTCCTCCATTGTCTCCCACGACAGACGGATGCTGACCACAATACCAGCAAACGCAGGATGGGAATAATGATGCATGATGAGTAGCAGCTGCAAGAAACAGTGACAGAAGAATAATTGACCGAGCAACACACTCATTAGGAGGATGAGTCTAGCTGATGCATGGGAAAAAAGCACCCCTTCAAATAGCACCTCTCTAAATCAGCTAAATAAATAGCAGCAGCTGAAACATGTTTGTTCAGCACAGGCAGCATTTAGTGTTCATCGAGATAGACAGGTGTATAGCTCCTGCTTTTCCCAGTGCATGTCAGGGTTAGAGGTTTGTGGCTGCACGGTATATACTTAACCTGTGTTGAGTTGCTGCAACCTGTTGAGTTTTTGGGAGGCAAATCATTGGCCAGTTGGGTTGGTCCAGGAGTGGAGTATTGTGCTCCCTCTGGCTTCTTTCTGATGGCAGTTTGTGCCAACTGGGGTTTCCAGATGCTGTTCATGGGTGGCCTGTTGTGCTTGGGGATGGACTTCATTATAGGATGCAGGGAAGGAGACTGTGGGGAGATGTTGTGGCCATCTTCAGATATATGGGGGGCAGTCAAATGGAGGGTGGAGCTGGCTTGTTTTCCCCTGCTCAGGAGGCTGGGACCTGAGCTAGTGGATTCAAGTTGCAGGAGGCGAGATTTTGACTGGACTGTGGGAGGAAATTTTGGACAGTGGGAGCTGTTTTGACGGTGGAACACATGCCTGCAAAGGGTGGTAAACTTTCCTTCCTTGGGGGTTTTTGGGCAGAAGTTGGGTGGCCACCTGTCATGTGTAGTCCCTCCCTTCCTCCAATTTGTTCCTGTTTGACATCATTGTTATGGGATGTGTACACTTACAAACCCACACACCTTTCACATCATTTTAATAATAGGCACCCTCACAAAATCCACAAGTTCCTTAACCAATAATGCCATGTAGCACTGAACCAAGAAGTATCATATGACACTTTTTTTAGGGCCAGTGCTTGGATTACACCAGCTACAGTACAAACTTGTCAAGGAGCTAATTTTACAGGGTGAGCATTTTGCATATTGGGCTTCCCACAAAGATCTGCAAATATTTTCCCACACCGATATATGTTAAAGGATCCCCCAATGGAGAAAATAGGGTGTGGGGGAGAGGAAGTTCTTTACTGGGTAAAGTGCCAATTTAGGGGCTGGGGGT